AACGAATTCTATTCATATCCGAATAATACGAATTCTTCTTATATCCGAATACGTTATATACGCACCGAGATCAGAACCAGATATGAATCAAATTCAAAACAGATACGAATCCAAACACGACTACAATTACGAACCAGACCCGAAATAGACACGCGCCATGCACAAACCCAACCCAGATACTAACCAGACACGAACCCAGACGCACCAACCACGAGCCCAGACACGAACCGCGGAACCGGAAACGAACTACACGAACCCACACAAAAGAGCCCAACAAGAATCGCGATTAATATCATATAAAGAATCCGTTACAACATCCGCAAGAAATCTACAGGCTTCTACTACCGCGAGAACACTATCTTAAAATCTGCAGAATTTTATTCTGCGAGAATATCATCCTAAACTTACTAAAGCTTAGAAGATCTTCATGCTACGAAATATCCTAAAACTAACAAAACCTACGGAACTTTAGTATCGAGAGAGAAATGCTCTCGACCTCACAATTTCTAAGAATTTAGTCATACTATACGAGACAACCATACAAGAGACTATCATGAAGAAAACGCGGAAAAAGACCAAATTACCCAAATGCGTCCAGAATCACGGACGCAAGCAATACGACCCCGTTTTATTCGAGAACCCTAAATCATATAATTATAAAAGCTTTGAAGTTCAATAATGAAACAGACATCTCAAAATTATAACGAACCAACCTATAATCAAAATCTTCTCTTAATAATATATTCGGTCCGTAATTTTTATGTGAATCACTAGTAAGGATTTCATCTTATATATGGATAGGTATTTATTTATACTACACGTGTATTTCATCGAACAATACTTACAACATAAATGTTTATTTGTTATAGTTATAGTCGGACATATTATGTGTGATATTGGAACAAATCATTCTTCGTCGTATTGAAGCAATACAACGTATTTCAATGATCTTATCGTGCAGTCTTTTCTTCCTACAGTAATATCTCAACATAAGATAAGTTCGTGTTCTTGTCCTCTTTGCCTGATTCGAGTTCAATATGCTTTCCATCATCGAACAGCATCGAACGTATTCTATGAAATCAACTGAGAAATGCGACGCTGGATCGATTCAACATGGTTGGCGTGAAAACGAAATTGTCAAGCTATGGTGCGGACGCAAAAGTTTTCCGTGGACTGACGTCATCCACATTCTGTCTTTTTGTCCTCCAACATAGTATGTAAATCTGCTGCGTTTGGAGCACTGATTCGAACATCTACAGATCCTGACATATTCGCGTTGAACACGCTGCAATCCGGATTGGCCAACAGCAACGTGCTACCATCTTCGACAGATGTCTGCAAGTGCTGGAACCGAGCATCTGCAAATTCAACATGGCCCAGACGGCTGTTATTGTTAAAATATGCCACCTTGTCCTTCAAGACATAGATGGACGCGTTGCGCACCCAGGTCTTCTTGAAACCAAAGCGCTTGCCTGTGAGGAACCGGCAGGCGAAGCTTCAAAACAGCACTTTGCACATGCGTGAATCTTTCTGCAGCTGAACCGGACTGCCTGGTGCGCTGAAATTCCGGTAAGTCACGGAACCATGGCAACCTTGCGCAAGAGTATGGCCTCCGAACACACGCCTGCTCGATCTGCCTCCCTTAGAGTCAGAGCTACGATGCAAACGGTTCAGCAGATCTGGCCTCTCTCTCCAGCTGTAGCCTTTCCTGGCTTGTTGCTACCGCGCAGCCCATCGTCGTTTCGGCGCCGGAAGCAGGAAAGTCAATGCTTGTGGGCACAACATGGTGCAACCTTCCGAAGTAGTCAACACCAATAAGCACTTTTGATTGCATGTCACTGGCTTTCTGGCAAGAGCAAGAGCCAAGAAGGGGAGCAAAACCGCTTATTTGCACACGTGTTGACAAGAAGTTTCCATGGGCAGGAAATGAGGAACATCTCTTGCACAACCTTTTCGCTTCTTTGGATCAGGGGTCAGCTGTCCCAGCCTGACGATTTTGCTGCTTGCAGGCTACACATGGGATCCTTCTAGATGCTGAGAGACAGGCCATAATCCTCCGCATGTTTCTGGCGAGCGTCCAAAGCCTCTCTCCTTTTTGCGACAGTATCCAAGAGAGGCAGTCTCGGAACGCAAACTCTGCCGTGCCCACCTTATCGCCTCTTCAGCGCCTGCTGCCTTCCTTGGCGATTCCGAAGTGGAACTTCTAACCGGGCTTTGTTGGAAGCTGGGCTGCAGACTCTGCCTCCGCACTCTGCCGCGTTGGGGGCTTCTCGTTGGGAGCTGGTACCTCATCGACACGCTTCGAGGGACGAGTCTCTCAAGGGCATCGAGGCATGATGATGACTGTCTGCCTTCCCCAAAGCTTGAAGCTGCTCTGACAAAGCACCGAGGTGCAAAGTGGACAGTGCACACTTCTGCACAGCCTCATCCCTCAACTTCGTCCCGAGCTGGTACCGTCACTCACGAAAACCGGAGAAAAGCACTTTCTTGCAATACCGGACTCGCAGCTCGGCCCGAAACACTTCTAAAGTTTCAAAGGCAGAACAAACAAATCGAAAACAAAGAGCCATCTACAGACCTCACCCAAAGATGACCGGGAACAACAACTAGTCAACATGGAACGATAGACACACACACACACGCACAGGGGAAGCGTTTGTCAGGTTGCTGAGAAATCACCCACATCAACAATAGCCAATATTGTGTATGTCTTCAATGTTGAATATCTCCTTGCTGTTATATTATATTCGCAGTGACTGCTGGGGAAGCCTGTCCCACAATCCAAGGTAGCAGGGCTGCACGGAAGGACGCACATACGTGCAGAGTTTAGCAGGAAAACAAGTCGACTGCAGCTTGCAATGCTTCCTCTTGATTGTCGCAAGTAGGGCGGCACCAAGTTTTCAACTTTGAGTGACCTTGCAAGGCATCATGCAGTGGCGCGATGGCAGCAGACACTCTGAAGATGAGGCTTTTCTGGGCCTCAGGCTTGTGCTCATCACCGAGATCTACCTTCCATCGGCCAACCTGCTTGGCTATCGCTGACATGTAGCTGAATGAATAATGGCTCCTGCATACTGTAGCACACGCCCTACCATTGCACTATCCCTTTCCGCTTTTCGGCCTCTGGGTCGAAGCTGATGCACCTGTCTCTCGCGACTCAGACGTGACCCAGCGACGTGCTGGAATCTAGTGTCTATGCCTGCCTGCCCTTGCGTCCATTCAACTCCTGGAGATATGCTGCATCGCTACGTAACAAACCTTTTCCACAGAATGCTGTTGCAGCAACGTCGCACTTGCTTTTTCTATGAAGCTGCTCCTGCTTTGCTATCAGATTTTGAAGACGGACAACAGCACCTGGCGAGAGCAGTTTACCAGCTTTGTCCAGCACCTCATGCTCTGCAAGGGCACTGGCCTGGATGAATGCCTTTGACCTTCGGCCACGAGGTGTTGGACCTGGGAGCACAGGTTCAACAATCCTGCAAGCACACACAGGCTCTAGAAAGCCCCCAAAGCACAACAAGCCTCGGACCCCAAAGGCCTTGCCACCGGCTTTCCATCCATCTGTGCAGCAGTAGGCTTGCTTCCAGGGTACCTGGCTCTGAGCTTCGTTCAATCCGATGGTCGAGACTTGGTCGGCGAGCCGGAAAGTGGCGGTTGGACTGCCGGGCCACTTCCCATTCCAGATCGATGTCCTTGGCATTTTGTCCGCGGGACTGGATTCCTGCCTGTGCATTTTCACTTCGAGGACAGTGCCTTCGAGGCTGTCAGGTTGGCTTCTTTGATCGACTTCTGATCACCGTTGACCTCGGCAATCTGACGAATCTGATGCTCGCTCAAGAGACGAAGCTCCTCAGAATGCTGAACATGAAGCTTTTTCAGTGGTATCAACTGTTCCAGACCTCCAGAAAGGGTGTTTGGGATCTACGGCATAGAGCTCACCAAACCTCACGAATCAAGCAGCTGAGAATAATGACTTGTCAAAACGTAGGGCTAAATCCGTCAAACAGGATCGGGGTAAATCTGCACAGGATTGTGCAGGTCCATGCAGGCGCGGCGGCACACTGTAGGCATGGAAAGAGTATCAAAGCTGCAATCAGATGCGCGATGAGCACACAGCACGACTGACTTGCAACAAACTACGGTGGGCCCACGTAAACGCGGATGTCCTGAAATGCCACGAAGACTGCATGAGCACAAACAACACAAGATGGCCAGAGAGAGCTCTCTTCGGCCCGCATGGGTCCGAGCACCGCTGATGGAGGTCTCGAGCAATGTCGCCGGTTCGGCTGTGGTAGAGTTCATTGAAACCAATGCCACAAGGGCAACGGGACTCGGGGCCCACTAGGCCAAGGGAGATTCCAATTTCCTGCCATGAACCTATGCTGCAAGTGTGCCCTCCGAGTCCATGACCCGAGAAAGAACACGCAAGACTCACCCAAGTCAATACCCAAGGCAGCTTAGCTTGGCGCCAGTTCCACGGTCCACCGCAACGTTTGCGCATCCCTAGACAGCAACCTGCTTCAAGTCTGCAGCTGTAGATCATATGATTAGCAGCTGTGGCAATTCACATCCAGCCGCCTGCAGAGCTGACCGTTCAGTTCAGCTGCGCTTTGCCTCGCAGTGCGAAGCTCTCTACAAGTAGCTGCCCTCCACTGAGACAATAGATTGTCAGCAGCCGAGTCGAAAGCAAGCCGTCGATCTTTGCCTCTCAGGTCGAGTCAGCCCGAGCTGACGCGAGCATGAGCCCATGAGCTGCTCTGAGCTCAGAGCAGGCCGATTCTTCAGCAGGTCAGCTTGGTGAGCAGCTTCGTAGTCCTCGAAGCATAGCAGGCATCGTCGGGCGCATGCTGCAGACTTGCAATCTCTTGCAGGCCTTCCGCATCTTCATGGAAGGCTGAAGCTCCTCCAGGCCACCGAGGGCTCTTATCCTGCCAGCAAGGAATGTGGGCCTCTTCCAACATGTAGGCTGAAGCGCACAAGAAGCTCCTAGTCTTGACCTTTGCCATCACGAGAAGTCTGGAATTGTAGCATCCCCGGCAGATCTTGTTCATGTAGCTACACCTCCGGACCAAAGGGGTCAAGCTTCGCTTGATGCTGAGCTTCAGGCTTTCTGAGATTGCTGCTGCTGAAGTGCCATGAAGTCAGGTGCACCATTGGTATCCGACAGGTACTTCCACTCTGCCTCGTTGCACGTCAAGCCCTAAATCAACTCTGCGAGGCTGAGCCTCAGGTTTCACGGGCCTCGGTGCAAGGTGGGTCCAATTCCCACCTCCAATGGCGTCAAGTCGCCCGTTCTTATTCTCTAATGGAATGACACTTCTCATGCTTCAATGCGCACACGCACTTCTAATGCTATGTCCGTCTAACGACCCTTAAGTACACAGCACAAGACCACTTTAAATTGAAGCAAGGGCGCTGCGCGAGATTACGCGATCTCAAAGATAATGCTGAGTGAGGGTGTCAGGAAGGAAGCTCTTAAGCACACGACACCGGCCTGAGGGGATCCCATTTCCACTCTGTCGTCTCTTTGTCCTGCAGAGCGAGTCACGAGCCAGCAGCAGCCTGTAAAGAGTTAGCCAGCCATAGCCAGCCTGTCCACAAGCGGCGCAAGGCATGACTGCACCAAAGTGCGCTCCATGTGATCTTACGAGGAAGAAATTTTCTTGGGAGGGAGCACGGACTGGTTCAGTATCGGCTCGACTTTAGCTTGCACGTTGTGGAACGGAAAGCAGCATACATCTGATCTGTTGGGTTGTGTCTGTGTACGGACTGCAGCATGCGATTTCTGAAGTCCGGGTCGGTCAATGCAGTAGGCCTGCTGAGACCTGTTCGCCACTCTCACACTCATATACAGTGATGTGAGCTGCAACAGCTGCAAGCCGGTTGAAGCAAGCGTCCCATATCCGAAAAGGCTCAAGTAAATCAAACACTGTCTGCGCACTTCTCCTGCTCTTCCCGGATTACACGCGGAGTGAACATCTTCCCTTCAGTGATCTACAGTCGCCGGCTGGTGCAAGCTTCAATCTAACATGCGATTGTTAATTGGCTTAGTTCAGGCCAGTCTCGTCCTGACCATAAACAAATTCCGTCTAGGCTCTTCTCAGCCTGACGTGCTAGCACAAGATGCCTCCTGAGCATTGTGAGTGCGACTCGGAAGTGTCCAGCAGCGGTCAGCATGACTTGGCCTGCAAGTAATTGGAGTAGCTGCTAGTGTATACTAAGGTCAAAGCTCTCGCAAGCTCAAGAAGCACAGCATGCATGCCCTTGAAGCAAGGACAAGAACTAAATGTGCACCGAATTGGGCAGCTAATCGAAAATCGTCACCTCGGCTTTATCTTGGCACGAGCAACTCGCAACTGCACTGAATGCCACATTAGCTCTCCAGTGTTGTTTAGGGCCGTGACGTCCAGAACCTCCTGTTGGTGGTCGCCTGACCCAAGAACATGCTCGGTCATATGGAATCCCTGACAGCAAAGCCGTGCGCCACTCAGAATGGCACAATCTTGCTGAACTTGTCTTGCGAGTACTTCTTTCGGATGGCTTGGAGCGAATGCCTCGAGTCATGCATGCAAACCGGACCAACCTGGACCTTGCACGGTTCTACATGACCACTGCGTAATGGCCAGGGAGCATCTCTGCTGCATCCAGAAGCCCACACATTTCCCGAGCACATGCCTGGCTTCCGACTGCTTGCGCGAGTGTCTGTGACTGGTGCAATGCATGATGGCTACTGCGACAGCGAAGCTTGCTGCACCTTAACCTCTGCTTCCGTGTGCACGGTGATCTGTGCAATGCACCTCAGGATCGCAGCGCTTGAGCAGCTCAACCTTGCCTGTGGGAGCTGAGGGTTAGACGACGGCCATGCCGGATGCTGACGCAGAAGCTTGTTGCCTGCAGCAGCTTCTTCTGACCCAAATCTGGCGTTGGTGAGTAGGCGCCGCGCTCAGCAGAGCCGCTGCAGCTGCTACCAGAGACGGCCTGAAGACGAAGCGCAGAAGGAATACGCTGTCAAGGCACGTTGCCCATGTGCATAGGATGCCGAGACCCAGTCGTGTATTGAATCATATGAACCTCCAACAGGCACAGCTCAGCGAGGTATTGCATCAAATGCGCATGCTCCTCCCAGAAAGCGAACAAGCAGCTGCACCAACATCAAGCAACAATCAAGCGTCGGCGTCTCCTCGCTGCACTTATTTGCTCGCTGGTAGCGATCGAGGAAATGCGCTGGCGTGGGACCTCGGAGGCGCAGTCAGAGACAATCGTCTCAGAGTTAACTGTGCCTGAAAACGCCATGGATGTCTTTTAGCTCTGCAATGCAATCATATGCAATCCTAAGTCCTACCCGCTCTCTACACCAAAACCTGTTATGACTGAATTTGGACTCACTTTACTTGGACACTCGGCCAGCTAGTCACGACGGCTTGCAAGGGTCTTGCTGTATTGCTCATGTTGCAGCGTCCTGTCTTTGATCTAAACATATAACCGGACAAAATGGGATGTCAGATGGGACAGCCTACGAGGCATGCTTCGCTAAGACAAGCTCTCGGGTGCTTCGTTGCTTCCAGCTTGCACACTGCCACGGACGGGACGGTTTTTCCAGAGCCACTTGCAGATGGCTTTCGCCGATCTGCTTTTGGCGATGTTGGCAGCTTGATTGGCTGGGTGGCGGACTGCAGAGTTCGAAGTTTAAGGTGGATAGGATCGATGCCTCACGTCGCCATGCACATTGCGCGGAGGGCTGCAACTCCACAGTTCAAGTCTTGCTTCAAGATGCCTAACTGCAGGAAGGGAGTCGATCCAGGCCTCCATCTTCAGGATATCGTCCTTGGTGTACGCATTGTCCGTTATGTACACGAAATCCTTCACCTCTGGTGGGTAGATCTCCTGTAGTGGGGAGCATCGACAACAAAGGCAGCAGTGCATGCGAGACAACTTCGACAGCTGCAGCCTTCGCGCACGATTGCAGGCTTATCTGCTGTCCTCAAACTTCGAGGCAATCAGTAGGGCGGTCACGCCGCAAAGTTGAAGCTTCTTTCGTGGCACTTGCCTGTCCAGGGTCTGAAAAAACATGATACGTCACGTGCGCACTTACACATGGCGGCAGACTTCACCAGACACAAACGAACATTCAAGCCTGCACGACAACTGTTTACAGATGAACTCGTGCGAGACGAAGAAAGACGTGCAACTGCGAGCACGGACGTATGTCTGCATGTATGTGTGTGTGTATGTAACATGTACGTAAGTAATTATGTGTGTATTCAGGTCGGTGGGTGGGTCCAGAAACAACCGCGGACATGCAAGCCAAAGACAGCACCACGACGCCTGCACTCAGCAGTCAGGAGAAAGCATTCCTGCTTTCACAACAGCTGCTGGATTTTTTTGCGGGTCGGTGGACCAGGCTCTTCATCCCCTTCACACATTTAAGCATGCAGACTTGCTTCATCATTCAAGAATGCTTGAGGCTTGAGGCACGGTACGGCTTGAAGTCAATTCCCTGGGCACAAAGATTCCAAACTATGGACATCCTGATCCGCAGCCTTGCGAAAAACGTAAAACCCAAACCAGGCGAGTTGAAGGTGTCACGCTTCTTCTTCGAGAGCATCATCTGCAACCTTCGGCCCTACACCCTATGCTTCAAGGCCTTGGAACGTTCAGAACTGTTTCTTAATGTGCCCGTGAGCCCAGGATCGAGATTGAAACGGACCGACCCAAGGGCCAAAGGCTTCTCAAGGGTTGCGTTTGCCTCTTCCCGGAAATAGCCCCTTCTTCGGTAAAGCACGGCGCAACTCTTTTTCAAGCGCGTCTGACGATGTACGTCTCCACCAGCAAAGCTGGAACGTTTTCGGACGCTGCCAAGTCCAGATGTCGTCGCAAGCTCAACCTCCACATTTCGGGGTCGGCAGCCTCGTCGATCACATGCTCCACGACTTCCACCGCCTCGAGCTTGTGCAACATCTCTTGCGCGGCTTGCGTTTCCATCGGCAACAAGCCTGCAGTCTCACCTTGCATTACCACATTGCGCAATTTTTGCACGCGGCAACGCAAAGTATCTCGCAAGCGCACGCCGTTGCCGTTGACGAGCTCACCCAGCAAACTGCTGATCTGTTCACGAACTCTGTCGCCCTCCTTTCGCGCAGCAAGCACGCGCTTGCCTGTAGCAACACATTGGTCGTCCACCCCATACTTGACCGCTTTGGCTAAAGCCAGCTCTAGCTCCGTGGTTCCCGCGATGTCAATGCACTCCCAAAGCTCATCGCGAGCTTCGAGTTGCCGCTGCCGTGTTTTGGCAGCCATTTTTGCATTGGCATCGTTCTCAAGCTCGGACTTCAACCGCTCCATCTTGGAATCACGGAAAACACATCTTTCTGCACATTTTGCGGCACGCAGCATGTGGTCCGGATTGCGGCTTCGTCGTGCATCTTGCATGCCCTTCCAAACCTTATCATTGAACTCCAGCTCGGCAAGAACCAGCTGCGGAAGCTTCAACGTTGCTGCGGCGAATTTGGCCGCTTCTGCTTCCTCAATGGCCGTCCTCAGCTTCGGAAGATCAGAACTCACCAAAGCCGTCTGGAGCGCAGTGTGACAGTGAAGAAGTTGCTTTGCCTTCATCACCGCTGGAGTGCTTGGTTCCAGACCTGCTTTCTCACCTACACACAGCGCACTTTGCAAACCACTTGGATGGTTTTCGCCGATTGCTCGCTCGAGTTCGGCCACTGCCAAAGGGCCGCGAATGCATTTTAACACATCTTCGTAGTCTTTCAGCTGCTCATTTTGGCGCTGCTCCAGTTCTGTATAGTCCTCTGTCACATCACGTGCCAGCTTACGAGCCTCTTCTTGTGTCACCATGATTGCTCCCATCATCGCAAATAATTCCTCCTGGCAGCTCGGCGTCAAGAGCGAAAAGTTCGCCAAGATGCCCACCGGCGTAGCTTGGGCTGCCGGGTGCATGTGTAAGAAGCAAGCTGGATGCAAGCACTTGGTAGTATCTGCAGCAGTTGCAAGACGAAGCTTTGACAAGATCCTGCATCCGCAAGAAGTGCATCTGAGAGGCTGGCCATTTGCACATGAAGCCAAGAACTGGCCATCGCTGTAATGAAGCGGCGGCTTCACCTGGCACGGGATATGCTCCCCCTGCCTGGGCCGCTTTGTGCGATTGGGCCGTGTGCTTGCGTCTGAGCTCTTGCATCTCTGGCTAATGCAGGAGATCCTCTTTGCCGGCTTCTTCTTGCTGTCCGTGGCCGTGGCACTTTGTCTTTTATTCGGGATCTGCTCGCGTTTGCCAATCTTCTTGCTGTCTGGCTTGTTCTTCGCCTGCAACCCTTTGCGTTGGCACGTCTTCTTGTCCTGCTCGCGTTTGCCAGTCTTCTTGCGGTCGGGCTTCTTCGCCTGCAACCCTTTGCCTTTGCACGTCTTCTTGTTGTCCTCTGCCTTCTTTTTGTGCCGGCGGCCTTTGCACGAAGCCATGAAAAGAGGGACGCCTACGCTGAGTTGCGACGTCCTTATGTGGAAACAACATGAAAGGACCAAGGCATACTGAGTCGATTTAGTACTTGCAACCGCGTACGCCCAATCCAAAGCGGGCGTGTCGTCTCTATGCTGCCGACGACATGCTTCCCTTGAGCTAATCGGCGATTTGCGCAAGGCACCCTCGGATCAAAGACAGCTGCATGCGCAAGCTCTAAAACAAGTCCTGACACCTATCACGTAAGGGCAAGAAGGAACCTGAGCCTCTCCCGGTGGCCTTCCTGTGTGTCCACACCCACTGCCATGCAAACTCACATGTCCCGAAATCTGGTGACATCCTGTGAGACCTTGGGAGATTGGTTCGTTATCCCCGTGGTGGCAGCCTCGGGCTCTGCATGGAACACTGCTGTTATGCACACATACGCAACTCGGCCTCATGGACAGGTATCTGTCGATGATGTTCACAGCCATGAAGAGCGTAACCGGCTTCAGTCTGTACTTCATGTGAACCTGATAGGATTCCATTAGGGTTCCTTCAAAGGCGGTTTATAAGGGTTGCCATAATAGGGATACAAAAAGGTTACTACAATGTAGGGGCCTAAATAGCAAGGCTTTTCTGCCGCACTCCTTCTCCTAAAGCCCACCTCCACCAGCCAATCGACAAGGATCGCCCTCATCTTGGTGTTGATCTCTCGCTGGTCAGCTAGATACTGGCACCTCGAGCCGGAGAAACAAGAAATGCGCTGAACGGCCGAACCTGATCTAGCTGCATTGGCACTCTGCAGCTTTCTGGACACATGATGCTACGGCAGTTCCACGTCTGGGCCTGGGTTGGAAGGATCTCTCCGTGGCGAACATGTGGTCAAAGATGTCCTTGGAGTACTCAGACACCTGCTGAGGGTCCTCGCATGAATACCGCAGCTTGCATGGAAGTATTGAGGCCATCGAAAGAACCAAATCCTCCTCTTCCTCCATGGCAACATCCTGGTGTCCCATTCTCAAGGCACGACTCCACCATAGGCACTACGAGTCACAGCAGAAGAACGTGCAGCAAGGCATGTCCATGTGGTCGCCAGACACTGGAATCACAAAGCGTGAGTTCTCTCTCACCCAGGCCTTCCAAGAGAAGCAAAATGGAGCGGAGAAGCGCAACTTGTGCCCAACATCGGAGCGGCTCAGGTAAGCTTAGCTGCTGACGACAGTCATGTTGCCGGGCCCAAGTGCTGGTGTCGGCACAACGTTGCCTGCCTTGCTGCACAGCTCAACATGCACAACTGCTGGACCATCACCGCCAGATCGTCAGATCATATGGCATGGCCGGCTAGGCCGGAGACGAACATCGGCTTGTCCACTTTCATTCCGAAGCCTGGGCCTGAACCGAGACGCCGCGATGCTCGATCTTTTCCTTTTGCAGAGCTGCACGCGTCTGACGCACCTGTGTTGGTGATGTCTCCGAGGACTGCATTGGGGCGCCGTAGAGGTTGCTGGACCTCAGCACGAATTACACTCCATTACGGCATCACCAGCACAAAGGCGGCCTGCTGCGTGTTTGACTCAGAGAGAAGCTGGCGGTGGTCCCGGGAGAATCGCCATCGTGCGCTTGTGCTGAGCAGCTGCATCCAAGCGCGCCATTGCACACAAATGCGATGTATGAGATGGCTTGTGGATGTTGGTGCAGTTCATGTCAAGTTCAACTGCAGTCTTTAAGCTGCATTTGAAGCAGTCAGCTTTTGGCTTACGTTCCGCATGTCTGCCCGTCTACCTGGGCCCTGGGCTCCAGGTCCTCTTGATCCAACATGAGCCGGCCAACACTCAGTGATCCACAACAAATCAAAAGGGCGTAGGCCATGCAGTCGCATGGTAATGCAATGCCCAATGGCTGCCGTCTTTCTTTTCTGGTACCGTTGATACGAGATTCACCTTCGACTGGTATGATTCATGATTCCATGATGTCTGTAGCATCATTGAATTCGATAACTGCCTGCGAAGCTTGCAAGCTGAATCGGGCAAATACTCTGAGCTGCTATTTACAGGCGGCGTGTGGGATTGAGCTTAGAGGCTTAGAGCAGGCGCTCCTTCCATCAGGGCATTCCAAGGTGCATGCACAAAACGATGAACGACAGCCGGCCACACACGCCAGGACGCCAGGGTGGCTATTCGCTGCATGCTTTAAACATTGCTCGCTGACGAGGTTCAAAGCTTCAGGAGCAGTCTGGGGTGCTGAGTTGCTTCCATAGTCACCGTCGGATGCTGTCACCCTTCGATACGACCCTCGAAAGATATTATATGTTGTGCATCCCCGAACAAAGCAACACTTAGCTGCCCCTCGCTTGAACCTGAGGCACCTTTGTGGATTGTGGCACCTCTCCAGGTGCTCCACGGGGACAAAACACAAAACTGTCGGGGTCGCGTGCAAATGTCCAAAATTCTGCGCCCCCGCGAGTGGCAGCGGAGAGCGAGAGAAGTATGTACAAGCATCGGCCTGCGTTCTCATCTTGAACGCTCGGCCCGGCAACACAACAGAAGAACAACAGGATTCAACAAACAAAGAACCGATTTTGTGCATCAGTTGGCTCAGAAGTCATCCATGGCCTGGACTCGGACGTTACTTTCTTGCACATCGCCACTGGGTCTCCCGAGAACAGGCCTCGGCGCCTTGGCATCAAACCACATCCTCGATGGACCACCTGTCAACAGAAGTCTGCCTTCCGAAAGTTCAGTCAACGTCGACCTGTAGCGCCATGATATCTTTCTGGCGAAGCCGAGGTGATGACCCTGTTTTCCTAATCTTCAGATGTTGAGTCACCACTGTTATGGCAGGTCGAAAACAGAAGAAGCCCAGTGCAGTGCACTTGGTGGGGATGGTTTCCGTAGCCTTCTCACAGACCATGCGCCGCATGTGAGACGTTGCATGAGGTGACGAGACCAAGCCGCAAAGGATTTCTGGTGACCATCGATTCCTACTGCTGCACATTCGGCCCGGGCCGGTGCCTGTTCAGTCCGTCGTCTCCAGTCCCTGCCGCAAGGGGAAATCACAGGCAATGATGGAAGTCCATGTTAAAGCCCAAAGAACCCGCTCTTTTGAAACAAGGCTGTGAGAACGCGGGAGTGGAAGCTCGAGGCACTGGCAAAGCACTCTGTTGCCTTCATGGCTCTCCTTCCACTGCTTTGGCTCGACCTGCCGTCACAGCCCTTACCCTTGCTTGTCGTAAACAGTGCACGCAAGAGAAGTGCGACTTTTTCTCTTTTCACTTGGCAAAGCTCCGGCTCGACGCGAGGTGGCGAGCAGTGCCCACCTGCTGTCGGAGAGCAATGCAATGCTTTGGCGGTGACTCTCTTTCAGTCTGCTTACTCTCGCCTGTAGCCAGTAGGCAGCTGCAGCGTTGTTGGCCAATGATCCGGTCAAGACCTAGTCTCATCGCGGAAATTGCAACAACAAGAGCAGCACCATGGAATCCTTTTGGGGATAACACGACCTGTCGCATCGAAGAGGGGATGGAGGCATCCGAGATTATGTCAATGTGAACCTCTCGGGGACAGCCGAAACAGGCATGAAGTATTGCAACATCGGCGGTGAGACCTTGCAGTGAACAACGAATATCGGCCGCCGTGACAGTGGGACTGCGTGGACACAGGCGAGCGCACATTCATATTCTGCCGAGCCTGGCATTTCTGTGCTAGATCCTGCATGTGACCACCGGGAACAAGCCTCGGTGACCGAATACCCTACTGTCGTAAAAACATCGATACTGGCAGTCCTTGACAAGGGCATGCCAAAACATCACCCAGACTGTCGGCACTGACATGTTGTTCCAAGAAGGCCAAGATCTGCACGTGGAGAAGAGGACGTCAGATGCCAGCAGGACAGAAAGTGTACCCCGCAAGTGGCCTCAGTCTGTTGCACTTCGCCGGAGTCTTGCGCTTCCGTTCCTTGTTTGACGAGGGCCGCTCCCATGGAGGAGCTACTTTGGAGCAAGGCCTGTGGCAAAGGGCTTCGAATTGCAAACTCGACTCTCCTTGCATCCTGGCCTCGACCTGTGGTGCGGCTTCAACGGCAGACGTCACTGCAGCTTTGACAGCCTGCAGGTCACTCAAGGCATCCTCTGCGAGTCTTCTGAGATTGACAGGATGAAGAGTGAACTGGTCCTGGCCACCTCATCGATGTCGAAGCCTTTGCGCAGTCTGTCATGGTTCATGCCTCACAGGGCATGCTGTGACGGTTCCCACGATCTTCTCTGACTCCGGCCGGCCTTCTTCAGTTCTCCGGTCTGGAGGCTGAAGGAAGCAGTCGTTCGACTCCTCCCAGGCACCTGCGGCCTGGAGGTCCGTGTAAGGCCGCTCAGGCACCGACGGTTCAGGTCGTTCAAAAGCCCCTCCGCGGTGACCATGGCTCTGATGCATCTTGATATCATCATGGATTTCCCCATTGGCCATGGCAGTCCGGGCCAACGCCCGCTTGTCTACCACTTCTTCAACTTGCCATGGATCCGAGGGCCTGTCAGCTTTCGCAAGAGCTCTCTGCTCGCCACATCTTGCGTTGGCACCTGACATCTCCATTACTTCGAAGGGGCTCCGCCGCCCCGGTGTATGGCCGCGCGCTCCCTGTGTCAGCCTCCTTACCATCCGGGTGCAAGACGCAAGGGATCAGACAGAGGGTGCTTGAACCTACAAGGAGTCAATGCACCTGCTGCGCCGGCTCACCTCGAAAATGTGTCCGAGTATGAAGCTGATGACAAGATGCTCATTGAAAGCTGAGTCGGCAGCTTCGTGACCTCAGTTACTCGCGGGTATGCCATCCGGACGGAGACATAACGGTGAGCGTATGTTCTTGTAGGCGGCCGGCTGTGGGTCCCGAAGCAGCCACGGGTTGGGCTCTCTCGGTGGAGGAGGGTTGATGGGAGCATAGCCCAAGCCCTGGTTGACATGTGACGGACTTCTGCTTCAATTTGGCCTGACTTTCCCTGGCAGAGGCCTCTCGGATCTCTCGCCTCGCACGACCGTCCTTGCCTCAGGAGAATACTTGAGCAGGGCAAGGTCTCAGGAGGACGGTCAGAGGACGATGCCGACAATCTCGCCGTCAATGCTTTTGGCTACAACAATGCCCTCGATGTGTGCACGATCGGTCTTGGACATAAAGTCCTGGCAGCTAGCAAAACTGTCAGGTTTCCTTTACGAGCAAGACGTTCGCAGTCGCCTGTATCGCTTGGATGCGTGAGATGATGGGCCCGGCAATCAGCAGCATGGCTTCTCCCTTTGCACAAATTTGTAGGCAAATCGACGAAAGAACTACAGGCAGCTCTGCGAACTGAGCTTCAAGCATCGCATGAAGGACCAGGCTCTCTCTCCACGACACAACTGCTGTATGCTGCAGCAACCTGGCGGACACGCAACACATCACGAAGCTGTTGCGATGCGGCCGGAGCCGGCCTGATCCATAATTGGCGGCACTGCAAGAACCTATGCCGGCTTGACATGCACTGATGCATTTGGCTGTCAATTGCTCAGCCGCCAACTTCAGGCACAATGATGCGTGTCTCTCGCGGTGCATTCCCGGGCATGCTGTCTGCAGTGCGCAACACGACCTGCAAGCTGAATTATGCATGCTCACACTTACACAACATTTCCATGCGTTGCTGATGTCTGAGATCATCGCCTGGATTCCCTCCAGCTTACGCTCCAGGCGCCCTCAAAGGCAGGCTGAAGCTGAGGCACCCAAGAGTTGTGCAGTCACGCTGAGTCAGCTGCCACACACCTCGATGAGCCGATCCCCAGGCTTTAGCAAAGGAGTCGGCTCATCCTGACAAGCTGTGGGAACACACGAGCAGAAGGTGACTATCATGTATTTGGAAGTATCTGTGTGCTCCTTCTGTTTTCATATTTGTGTTGCTCCTGCGCATTTGGACACACAGCAATATGGCCTATGCCCAAACGCTGGACAAGCACCTAGCAGTCCAAGCCCGCCCGTCCCTGTTCTGCATACACGTAAACACGAGAATCCTCTAGTGTGGCCACACTGTCTGGTGAACGACCTGCAATCGACACACCTCACAAGTCGGCAAGGCACCTCGCGTATGACGTGAAGAAAGGCGCCACTGTTCTCCTGCATCTCCCGGATAGTGCGGCCTCCTTTGCCGATTAGCCATCCTGAATCGTGCTGGGCCAGGCTGGTACTCAAGATTCTGCGTTTCGTGGAAGCAAGTTATCTGCACCAGCAAAAAAATGTTTTCGATCAGGGTTTACTTAGGGATTCTGTCACTTGTTTACCTCACTCTCCGGCGCAGGACCATTGCTCAATGACGTTCCATCTTCTAACTTGTTTGCTGGGTCTCTTTTGCCCGCTGCTTCCTCAGGCAAGTCCTCAGCTCTCAAGCCATATTCCGACGCAGCTGCGGTACAGGAGATGTACCCGTTGTGCACATCATGAAGAAGATTTGTTCGAGGGCGCTTCGCAGAAGGACCAAAACCGCCACCTCCAGCGGTCTCAATGACGTAAGTATTTTCCGTGGTTCCGGATCCTGTCCTGGAAGAGACCATTGCGCCTGACTGGCCACCATCCCTTCCCGCAGGCCCGTCACCAGCATGTGCCTGCGTACACCTGAAAGACATTGAGCTAGGCCCAGACACCTCCACCCGTACTCCCAAGCCGCCTCGAAAGCACCCTGCACCACCAGAATCCTGTATAAGCATCTTGCGTTTGAAGAGAATTCCGGACTGCTCCATCACTTCTATCGGTGTGGTTTTGAAGCCGCTCGGAAAGATAGTAGAACTGAGACCATCTTGATCCATGTGTGCACCTGTTCCACCCGCCTCGATGTGGATGCCCGGGCTTTGACCTGGTTGTCTCCATTCCAAGCAGCATAGGCTTGCAGAGCTTTCAGCAGGAGGGCAAATGTGTTCTCCACATTGCGCTACTCTGAAACATCCGTAAATCAAATCTGGCAGGAAGTAGGCAAGTGTAGATGCGTCCGGATGCTGCTGTTGTCGCGGCATGTCCAGCAAACATCCGGCCGCAATGCTTACTCTGAAAACGCTCAAGGACCCGTGGTTGGCTGGCACGCCCTGCCCGAACATGCTTAGAAATGCGAACTGTGCAAATGCCCTACAGCTAGTCGCCGAAGACCCCTTTGCGGCAACACTTCCCGTCGGCGGGGCCCTCTGCGTGGCCGTCAGCCTGCACTCCAATGTGTCCGACGCCAGGAGAACACTAGCTGACAACTCCACTCGCTGCGCGACAGTCTCAGATGCAAGTGCATTTTGGATCAGAATCTCTCGAGTGCAGGATAATTTGTCCTCCTGATGCACTCGACTCAGATTCTTCAGCACGGCCGTCTGCGAGACTTGCACAATGTAGGCACCCAGTTGCAGCAAACTCGTCTCCCACTCTTGAAATAAGTTCTGCAAGCGCTTTCTACCCAAAGCATTGCACGCGAGCAAAACAGAGGCTTCCTGCGCCAGCATGGGCTCCAACAGCTGCCCATCAAGTGCATCGGCTTCATGGGTGGTGACTGCCGTTGCAAAGTCTTGTGCAACTCCTACCAGATGGGCTGCAGAAGCAATAAATCCCTGAGCTGCGAATGGCGTTATCGCGACGATTGTGGAAGGGCATCCTTGCCCCAGCTCGACCCACGAGCTCTCACTCTTCAAGCCCAGCTCAAGCTCACTGCGTCTGTCACCTAGAACTTGCATCAAGAGCCCGAGGAGACTCGGCGAAGAAGTCTGACTGTGGGCCAGAAGCCGATTGTTTGCGTCAAAGACAGCACAGGTCACGGCAGATGACTCCCGAAAGAGCGGCGAGAAGGCTCCGCGGACTGCGAAATGTGCCTGCTCCTCCAGAACTGAGAGAAGACGAGTCCAAGCAAGCTCAAGCTCAATTCCGCTTCGCTGCGTTTTTTCGGGAAGTCGGTGAGATACTCCAAGAGTGTCTACTCGACTCTCTAGTTGAAGGAATTTGTTGGCCAAGACAAAGCAATCGAAGGACTCGGTGACGACCGTGGTTGTGTAGGCCTCTACAATGATGGCAGGCCCAGGAACCCGCTCACCGACCTGAAGGTCGTTCCTAAAGTAGGTGGGCACGTTTCGGTACTTGCATTGCTGGCTGCAATACATCGCCCGGCTGCCACTGGGCTTCGCTGTGGGGGCCTCAGCGTCCAGCTCATGGAGCATGGAGGCGTCGGCCTCTTTACGCTTCTCCTTAAGCCTCTCTCTGGGCCAGGCCAACGGGTCTGCATCGGCCACTACCTCCAGTGCAAACGAACAGATTTCGACCTCGCGACCCGGCAGGGGTAGAAATCCAAGGAGCTTGTATGATGCCTCAAACTCTTGGCGCAGGACCTGTGCGTCCTGAGCCTGCATGTCCTGATTGGGAAGCGTTATCGCGACCTCATGGCCCTGCCCAACGTAGCGAGCATACGCCCGACGCAGTTCTTTGGGTGGCCTTCCTGGCTTCCACCTTGCAGCACCAGCTGCAACTACTGACACTGTTCTGTGCCAAAGCTGACGAAAAATTGCATTCACTTTGGAGTGGTCAAATGCAGAGAGCTTCATCGCACAACTTTCGAGCGCCTCAAAGGCAAGTGGAGCGGAGAAAAAGCCGATTGCACTGCCTACGCTAGCATCCGGAGGGATCAGCACGGTTCTGATCCTCAGCCTTTCAGCAAGTTTTGCAGCCCGGAGCGGGGAGGCCCCACCATAAGCGACAAGCACGTGCCTGTGCAGCTCAAGCCCGTGTTCTGCAGCATGTGCACGGGCGGCGGTGGCCAAAGAATCCTCTACGGCCTCAAACACAAACTGAGCCAGCCTCTCAGTTGGCTCATCCTTCGCCAGACTCTGCAAAGCGGCTTCTGCTGCCTCGAGCTTCAGGTCAAGCTCGCCACCTGCAAGCGAACCTGCCGTCAAATATCCAAGAACGAGGTCGGCATCCGTAACCTCACTCTACAGTTCTAGCCCAGTGGACAGCCAAATGTGTGATATTGTGTGATTGTATCTAGCCCCGCCAAGCTTCGGCTTCAACCTGTTCATGTATTAACCTGGATATAGGGCAGTTCAACAGTTTGGTTGCAGTAGCTTGCTACTTGTACGGAAACACTATCAAACGAAGTAGTTCTCTTTTACTCTGGCACCAAGCATGCTTGCCCTCAGACCACGTGCTTGCAGATGAGTCACAGTCGGGAGGTCTCCACCACGATTGTAGCAAGCAGGGCCTGGGTCAGACCCTGCTGACTGTGGACCAACTCTCATAGCCACAACATCTCGAGAAGCGATGCTGCCTCCACCTCCACTGATTTCGACGAGATCAACACATGGAATTTGCAACGGTAGCCCGGAGTGTTTCATGAAAAGCCGGGCTCGGTCGACTTCGAATGCGCGGGTCACGGCGGCCCGTCCTTTTGAGATAGCACAGAGCTTCGCTGTGGTACCTCCCATGTCTAGTGATAGCACTTCTTGTGCCTTGGCCTCTCTAGCCACCTGCTCTGCCAAAACAGCACCACCAGCTGGCCCGGATTCAATGAGACGAACAGGAAACAGTGATGCCGTGTCAGCATCCATCAGTCCACCGCCAGAGGTCATCACCAGCAACGGACACCCAAAGCCACATTCCAGCAGCAAGCCTTGGGCCTCCTTCAGGTAGCGAGACATCAATGGTTGGACGTAAGCATTCGCTGCAGCAGTGCTGAATCGCTCATACTCACGAATTTCAGGACTGACTGCACTAGAGGTGCAAAACCACACGTCTGGCAGCAACGGTCTCAAGACAGCCACTGCCCTTTCCTCGTGTGTAGTGTTCATGTAGCTATGCAAGAAGCATACCGCAATGCTTTGGACTCCAAGAGCTTGGAGTTGCGGCGCCAGCGCTTCCAGTTCAGCTTCGTCCAAGGCCTCAAGCTCTGTGCCGTCAGCAGCGTGCCGCTGGGATACTTCAAAGCAAAGAGAGCGAGGTATCAGTGTTTCCGCTTTTTTGGCATTAAGCTTGTACCGATCGTAGCGCCCGCTCCTTCCGATATCCAGGGTATCCCTAAAGCCCTTCGTAGTGATGACGGCGGCCTTAGCACCTCTTCGCTCCAGCACGGCATTTGTCGCCAGTGTGGTGCCATGAAGAACCAATCGAACTTGCTGTGGCGAACGCTGTCCAGCTTTCACAGCACGGAGGGCAGCATCCACAAAGCCCTTTGCAGGGCGTTGAGAAGTTGTCAGCACCTTGACCGGATACCGCTGTGTGACCTCTTCGCCGTCTTCCAGCACCGCATCAGTGAACGTTCCACCTCGTCAGGGTCAGTCATACAGGCTGAAGAGGATTTGAACATACTGATCTCGTCAGCCACTATGAGTCACAGGGCAGGTGCAGCAATCGCAAGCCTATGTCAACAGCAAGGCGGCAGACCAGACTCCCGTCCCAATGAGCAGCAGCAAGGGCATTGGAGCTGTTGGCCGCGCACTCCTGAATTTCCGGCTCCGGAATACGATTCTTCAGGAGCGGTGTACGGTACACTCCGTCTTCCTTCTTGATCTCAATACCACTTCCTGTCTCCATGGCGGCGGCATACTCCGGACGTCAGAGCCAGCCGGATGTCAGAGCCAGCCAGTGCACAAACTCTGGAGAAATCAAACAAAGCATGACTGGCTGCGATGGAATGAGACAGACAGGCACCGCGAAACGACAAGAAAATCATCCGAGACGGTCCTGCCAGCCCCGTGTCAACGACGATCTTAGCCTGGAGCAAAGAATGCAACTCCAGACAGTGCGGCTTGTGAATTGCCGTGCATCTTCCCGTCCTTCGTGCGGAAGTTCTGCGTTGGGTCCATACCATAGAAGAGATTGTGGTCGATGGGCCTTGCTGGCAGCCCGGGCATCCGACACCGTGTGTGCAAGACCAGCCAAGCTCTGACGCAGGAAGCATGATGGCCATCGTTTGCTAGACGTGCAGAGGCCGGTGCGGCAACGTGACTTCGGGCAAGTGGGCTCCAGCACCCGCGGCCAGCTGAGCAGCTGCCTAGGAAGACTTAGGCGTAGTCCGTAGGCACTTCATTGCATCAATGCATCCTGCAGCTGACGTTTGCTCTGGCCTTCTCTGGCCGGTACTTGAAGTCCGCAGGCAAGAGTCTGCCGCGATCGGCCATGTCCTGTCTCAGCGTAGGCACACTCTTGGATGAGACCTCCGGGCTAGCAGGGAAGGGACTTCAGGCCAGGAAGTACCATCAATCCCTAGTTTGCTGGCTTCGATCGGGTCTCCTGCACAACCTTATGGATGTTTGCCACTGCAGTTGTCACCTGCAAAAGTGCATGCTTTGCCGGTCCGGTGGTGCGTCGCGCTGTTCCGACAGGAGTTGGCAGCAGTTGGGCACCATGCAGAAAATCATGCGCCTGTTCTGCAGTCCCCTCCAAGCCTGGTCATGATTTCACTTTGTTCACTGCCACAGCGCGGCTCAACGCAAAGCGGAAACAGTGATCCTGGCCTATGGGTGTATCTGGCATACCCATAACCTGGCTCCAATGATGACATGAGACTGTACAGTTTTATGCTCGGCGGCGAACTCCCCAAAAAGGTGTCCTAGCACGAGTTTGGTGTTTCGATCTCTTACTGACTGCAAGGTTTGTACAATTTTTCTGGCGGGCCAGACCTGTCAGGCTGCGGAGAGGAGGGCTTCTTATTGTCAGAAGCAGGAGGGGTCAGTTCTCAATAGAGCTCTAATGAGATCTACCGGTTTCCGCGAGTCGTACTTACGTTCTGACCGTCAGGCACATCGACCTTCATGGTGCTCCAGGACATGGTTACTGAGATGCAAACATTCTCTTTGCCAATGCTGATCTCGACTCCAGTCCCTTCCAACACCTCTGGAACCGGCACTTCGGATCAAGACTTTGCACACAAAAGGAATACCAAAGCTGGCAGGTGCCATGTGCTGTACGAGATGGCCTCGGCAATGGTTGCTCCTTTGATTCCCACCTCGCACGACTAATATTTGCACAAGCGATCATCACGACGGGACGTCGGACAGCCGGCTGCAGTCTGATCCTGTGAAATTCACATCTCCCATGACCCTTGTCAAGAGAGCACCTGCTGGCTACGTGCAAGCAAGAGCAACGGGGCGCGGACAATTACAGGAATAGCTGTTGCTGGGACAATGATGACAAAGAATCCAATCTCGCTGTCCAGAAGATCCTGTGAGGTCCACCGAGCCATGATGCATGGCATTTTGTTCACCCTCACCAGACCCAGACCTTGCAAGCCTCAACCGTCAACCTTGAAACCGGAGGCCACCGATGGTATTGTTGGACGAAAACCTTTCTAAAGACCTGACACGTGTTGCCGAGTGCCTGCAGCTTTCGGAGCTTTTGGACCTCAGACCCGGCAGCAGATCTTACCATCCACGTCTCGCCGCGGTAAGACATGTTCAATGCAGGATCGCGCTTGATGCTGGCACCAGAGGAACCGACAATAAAATTCAGTTCTCAGCTGCACACGATTCCCAAACAAGCTCGGGCTTTCTGCTCGGCCTTCAACGATGCCCGATGCTACGCATCAACGTGCTACCCTGCACCTTCGAGCACGGTGCACTGAAACCCATCAAGTTGGAAATTCGACTGAAGACAGTTCGTACTGGCATTCCTCACACTTTGAGTTTAGGGCACGAGCAGGGACCAAGAAAACATGTTAAACGAAAACCACAAGGTTGCGATAGCCCATTATCACGTCCCAATTGAAGCCAATAAAAGTAGGGATGTCCCAATTCAAAGTTCATATTTTTTGTGGAGTTTGTCTGTTTTTGCATGAGAAGAATGAGTTTCCAACTTTGTGAAAGCCACGGAGTGACTGCTGCGAAACCATTCCCCTGCTTCGTCTGGTCAAGTTAAATTGAAGGAAACCACTGCAGGCCCAACGGAGTTGGCGAGTCCTTGAAAACGGAGGTGGCTGCCCTCCGCCCTTTTGGGAGCGCAGTGCCGATCGACCCGTTGCAATGAATCTTCGGTTCGTTTGGTGGGTTTAGTGGGTTTAGGGTTTGAGCCTCCAAGCGTCAGCCCTCAAGTCGTTTGGGGATCCTTTCACACACCTTGGGAGCCCTCGGTTTTTGCTGGGATTCGCCTGGCCAACAAGGCCTGTGGTATCACTGCTAACCGAGGGTATAGAACCCTTTCGACTAGTACGGTACTTTACCGGGGTGCGACATTGGTCGGCTGACTTCAGTCTGGCACGAGGCAGAAATAGCTTTTGTGTCAACCTTGTCCGGCTACCAACCGAGGGGAACTTGGGAAGATTCGCAGTACGTGCGGTCCTGCTGCATACACCGCGCCTCGCTTGACACACTTAGCACATCTTAGCACGCCCGCCTGCCCACTGATGGTCACGATCCGGTCGCTTAAGCGACTTGGAGTGTCTCTGCTGCCGGAGACATCGATCAATGCTCCGGTGTTGTCTGACCTTGAGGCGAGAATGGCGCATGCGCAATCTGCAGGATGTCCTAGCTGGGCTGAGATGGCTGCAGATGCGCCAAGATTTCGTTGTTGTTGTATGTAACGAAGTCAACGGCCTCGGATTTGCTGCATCCAAGGTCTGGCGGCAATCGCGTCCAGCTGCCGACTGTGGAGCCCTGTGCCTCTTGAGGAAGGAGGCATCGCCACGGGACAGGGAAGTTCATGGCATCCCCTCCCGCATGATGAGATTGTTTAAGCTAGAGTGTGCGCTGTGCAACGAGGATTCGAGATGTAGCGGGCTGCGCATGCGGCTGCGTGAACAACGTGATTCCCCTCGTATATCTGGTGTCATCTGGCTGCCATCATAAACATAAAGCTGGACCAACACGACCCTGCAAAATTATGCAAGTTATTTGTTGGTAGAGACTGCCTCTCTTTGGGCCTAGAGCAAACAGCTGCTTTGAGTGTCTGCCTCTGTATTGTGAAGGAGCTCTTGTGGTATTGAGGCATGATCTTGGCAGCTGGGACCACAAGCCAGGAAAACACTGCTGGCCACCTCTTCCCAACCGGTACTGGTGTCACCAACCAAGACGAAGTCTGCCTCATCGCACCGTATTTGTTGGATTTTTTGGCATGAGCAGGAGCCAGTGCAGCTTGTAGCCCCGAACAGAGGCACAATGCTTGCTCCGTCAGAGTTGGCTCAGAAGGTAAGTACCAGCTCTGCTACATGACATCTTATTGCATCTGAGATGGCCGGCGATGTCCATAAAATTGCACGTGAACACTGCTTTCAGTTTGGGCATGGAGTTCTAACCCGTCCTCGTCTAGCTCTTCAATTGCTGACCGAACCTGGCAAGCAATTTCAAGAAGCGACTGCAAAGGATTCGTACCTCATTCAGATTCCCGAACTTACGTCCCAATTGCCTCCACCCAGGCTGCTTGGCTTTCACAGTCCGATTCTTCCGGGTTTGCCTGGGCACGCTTCAGCTATGGCGATTTCGCCTTGACAAACTGAGTGCAGTTTGACAGTTGCACAGGTTATGCGACCACACCCCTTCCAGCTTGCCAATGAGCTAAATTTCTACATGTCAATCCTCTTCTCATCGCATTAGACTTGATTTAGTCGTGTGTGAAATCTCGATCGCAAGCTTTTGGTAGTTTTCTTCGGTCGGCTGGTTGGTTGGTTGGTCGGTCGGTTGGCTAAGGATACGAAATCGTCCGCATCACTCGAAGCCCTGGCATGGAACAAGCAGTTCTGTTGATCTAATCTGTGCTGCTACGGAACCTCCGTCAGCGGCAGGCATCATGTCTAGCTTTCAATGTTACAGCTGGGACGCACTCAACTGCTCGCGATCTCACGCAGTTTTGGAGCTCGGACCTCTTCCGGCTCCGTATCGATGTCTGCATCCTGACGGCGGCAAGAGTTCCGAGAGATCAAATATCTGAACACAGCAGTAATGCCGACTCACCAACAGCCAACAAGGTGCGATGTCCACGCCTGTTCAATGTCATGTCCAGGATGTGCACTGTCCTCATGACATGTACGTCATGTACGTTGTTGGAGCGAAATGCTGGGGTATCCAATTTGTGGTAGCCACTGCCACGCTTGAACTGCCGATGTCCTGCTCGGACACATCATCCTGCACCGACTCCGACCGCTCTGGTTCGGGCTCCGCTGACCTCGCAGTCTTATTCACATGCACGGCACACAATGACGCTCGAAGAAGTTGCTTTCAGCTTGTTTTCTCACAGCCGCCCATCGTCACAGGTCCGTGACAGCTCGGGCAACAGCCGGGCATGAACTTCAGAGGCCTTTGTCGGCTTGCCCGTGTTGCCGTGCCATGCCGTGTGCATGTTCGGGTCTTCGTAGAGGATCTGTGCTTTTTTTCCGGACTCCGTGACGCCATAATCCAGGAAGATCCCTCTGATGGCTATGGCTGTGGGATGCTTTGGAGATTAGCTTCCCTCTCGGACCGTTGAAAACATAGGGCGGAGAGCAAAGCTAGCAGCAGCTACATCAGCTGCAAAGATCCACCAAAGAAGGCCAGAAGAATCAGAAGGACCTCCAAGACAAGAGCTTCGGAAGGTTGGAGTCTGCTCAACTCAATCAAGAGTTTGTAGGGTCATTGTGAACATGATGTTTGTTCGGGCTATGCAAGTGGATCTCATTGTACTGTACCTAGTGCCCAGTCTCTACGCATGTCAAAACGGCACTGTCTTTGGTGAGCTGATACGGGCAGCTGCCTGGACGCAGATGGACGTCGATCATGACGGTCGCCAGCGACAGCACTATAATGCTGCAGTAAGTTGGGCTTGCCCTCGCCATCAGCCACACAGACAAGGCGATGGCCACAAGCACAAAGCGAATCCTGGACAGGCGTGTCGTCTACCGACTCCTCTGCTTGTTTGACTTTATGGAACAGCAGCCCAGGGAGTTAGTGCAATGCTGCATAGGGCTGAGGCACTGAGGGTCGTTGCAACCGTTTGTCCGAACAGTGAGTGGTAGCAACTGCAACCAGGGAGCCAATACCAACCATAGCTTCCACGCCCAGGCAGTACGCCCAAGACTTCCAGCAATCGCGCGTTCACATCTAGAACGAGCGATGCTTTGCTGGCACCTACAACCCAGGACTGTCGCGACCTGCACTTCATGAGATCATCGAAAAGCTGCTCCCGTGCCCAAGCAAGATCCGCCAGTCCGATCAAAGCAGCCTCAAGGCAGCATGGTCTCGGCTGTTCAACCAAGGCAGCTGGGAAGCTCAGGCAATGGCTGCGCTCTGTTTTCCTTAGAGCATGGCAGAAAGAAGTGTTGCTCCGCACAACAAGTACCGGCACTGGGCAATCCCTGAAACTGAGAGTCGCCACTAACACCAACAGCTGTTCTCTTGCTGCTGCAACTCGAAATCTTGGCGCCATGTATCGGTATGTGAGCGATTAATTCAGCATGGGGGCCTCGTCCTGCTAAGTTGTTCTTAGCCTAGACGGCAGCTCTGTCCTGCTACGAATCAGCAGAACCGTAGGACAACTGTGAGAAGCCTTTTGCAAGCTGTCCGGTGACTAATTCAGCTGAGGTTCCCCAGATTCCCGAGCCGAGGGCTACGACCCGCATCAGCCCACAAAGGAAGCACTGCCTTGAGAACGGTGTCCTTGATCGAATTATGAGAAGCTTTGCAACTCCGAAGACTGATCTCTGCAGGTCCTGGCCAGGAGCAGCATGGCCAGACAGGTCGCGCATTCGATGATTTCGAAGTGTGGTGGAGACAGGACCGTAGCAGGAAGAGGACCTGCCCAGTCGAAAGAGAAAGCATGGGAAAATCGCAGGACCAGCTTGATGACAAGCCAATGCCGATCCTGCGAGAGACAGCAAGGCCGCTGCCGCATTCGCTAGAAGAGCCATGGCAGCCATCATGGTGCTCTGCATCGCGTCCGCTTGCTCTGTAAACTCTAGACGCTTGCGTCACAAAGCTTGCTGACAGAGTGAGCAACATCAACCGCGAGCATGACTGAATTCCTAGGCCACGTCCAACGGCAGCGATGTGGTGACGTGCGGTGGGTCTCTGGCTTCCAAACCTCGCATATGTCGCGACCCACCAGGGCAGGCGCGTCAGTGTCGTGTCCGGAAAATTGCGGGCCTTGCACAACAGGTTGTGATGTACAAGTACTATCGAGCGGTCGCGTGGTGGCACCCTGGTGGGAACAAGCGCAGCGTTGCTGATGGTTCTGTTGCTGTGAGGTACCCTACCACTGCAGCGAATCTCTGCTTTACGATTGCAAGAGATCTCCTCCAGTCTTAAGGACTTCAGGAAGACTTGGCATGAGCGCTGCAAGATGCTTCAAGAGCCGGGTTCGAGCTAAACTCATGTGAAGTCAATCGTCTCTACCACCCCCATGTTTCTGTGGTGAGCTATTGGCAGTCCTGCGACTTTGGAGGCGAGGCTTCCGGAGAGACCGTCGGTGCCTTTGTCCACGAGATGGGCAGACTGCTGAAGGGCATGAACTTAAGCAGAATGCCACACTGACTTGTCACATCTTGACACTTCACTCAAACCTTTTGCCTGTAGCTGCCCCTGATATACACAGAGCATACCCATTATCAACTTACTGCATGACGTGTCTTTTTGTCCATAAACTGAAACTGATGCAAAAAACACTTTTACACTGTCACTCATGAATTTTCGCGCCCATTGAGCACACGGCTGCCAAAAAGCAAGCCGCTGCCATCAGCATACTCAGCTGGTTCTGCGGCTGGGCATCCTCGGGACGCTTCACCTCCCACCTCAGGATACATGAAATGTTTTTCGCTGCTTCAGAACAGTGCAGTGTGCGTGGTTTTTGGGCCCAAAACCGTGCATCAGCCGATCAGTCAATCAACCCTAAACCCTAAACCCGACCACCCGCCGATCGGCTGATGCGCAGTTTGGAAACCCACTTTGCGAGCACAATTGAAAAGTGGGTCTGAACAGGCAGCCGGGACTACAGGGAGCACAAAGCCAAAAAAATCATCCCAGCTGCCGGCGGCTGAGGCTTGCCTTCTGTTCCTGCCAGAAAGGCAATGACGGTGTTGGTCGGCTTGGCCGGTGGCCCCGAGATGCCCCGAGCCTCGACGGAGGCGATCCCAGTAAGGCGGTCGCATCCTTCCCGGGCTCCTCACAGAAAGTCACGAAACGTCTCACTGTGCCCGGCTTCTCCAAGGGAGCTCTGCTGGCCGGAATGTACTTGCTGCTGGTCCTCACACCTTCTCACTTCCTGTCATGGGCGGGCCTCCTTGTCCTCCCACACCGCAGTGGAAACGCCGCCTGAAGCGATCAAGGAAGAACGGGTGAGAGAAAGAGTTGGAACGAATGATCAAGGCGTCTCTTCGATGGCAAAGAGAGACGGAGCCAGGAGACTCTCCCCAACCTGGCCTTGGTTGAGAGATGTCCCCACGCGAGGATTTCGGCCGCCTCTAGCAGAGCAGTATTGCGGGTTGACCGAAGTTTGGCCACGACGTAGTCTGATGTATGCTTTCAGAGTAGGATCCGCACGGCGACGGCAAGTAGACCAAAGACTTATTCCGATCAAAAAGAGGTCCAACCTGCTTCGCAGGTCAAAGCCAGGGCGGGATTTGATCGCAGCACATTGTGAAGACTGTGCTGAACCTCGAAGCCACAAGCCAGCAGCCACCTGAAGGTTACTCTCCAGGCACAAGCTCACAGCCCAAGTGGGGAACCTGTCACATTGAGTACCTGGCTTCTTGAAGCTGCCATCGTTTCGCTTCTCTGGAGAAAAAGGCGTGTGCTCACTGTTGCGCACAACCTGCCAGGGCCCAAGAGAGCTGCAGAAGAGTCGGCTCAGCTGTTGTGGAGCGGCCTGGTTGAAAACTGTAGCAAATCTAGAAGAGAGGTTGTTGACCTTCGGAGCGAGACTCCGACTTTGCTTGCATCTTTGCTGCTGAGATCGCGTCCTCGATTGGGTGGAAGGCCAGGATCTCGCAAATCCTGCCAACCAGATCTGCCTGGTTGCAAGGAGCTTCAGGCACTGCAAGCCCGTTGCTTCGATTCAAGCTTTGCAGGCCTCACCGGGCACGTCAAAAGCCGGATGTGGCTTCCTGTCGTTCTGCAGCCTGCAGACAAAGGGGCATGCGACGGGCGAACAGTTCTACAGACCAAGAGTAGAAACCCAGATTCCAACATGTAGCTGCAGCTGGCACTCGGGACAGAGCATTGGCTTCCGTTCCGGTTCGCTTGCAGTGCAGCTTTGTTTTGTCTCCGCTCCACAGCTGCATCTTTGCTTGCGACTTATTGCAGCTTTCGGAAGTCGCTCCTGCCGCAGAACAGCCACCCACACGCACACATGCATGTACGTAAGTCTTCGAGGAGAGCTCCTGGGTCGCGGTCCAAGTAGGCACATCCACTGACCTGACGGAGTGTTTTCAGCCTCCCTGTCACCGCAGAAAGCTGGATACATTGATCCATGCAGCCGCCTCAGCCTTCAGACCGAGTTGCTCTACCAAGCCCTGCATGCTCAAGTGAATGGTCCCGAGTGTGTCGGTAAGTAAAGCTTCACTGGAGCCTGCACAGTTGCCACTGCCGTTTCGTAGAAGGCTTGCTCCGCCTGCCTCGCAAAGACTGGAGGCAGCAGTCACTTCTTCAACAGCTTCTCTGCTCTACCCTGCTCCCCGGAGAATCCCAACCTGGCAACAAAACATAGTGGAAGAAGACTTGGCACAGGCAATGCAATGCTCCGGCCTCATGATTTCGCGCGTGGAATGGCGTTCTGAACCAGCGAACAGAGCTTGGCCGAAAGCATCGCCTTTGCCATTGAGCAAGGTTCTAAAAACAGCCGTGAAGAGCACCTGATATCATGTCGTCTACGATCATCGACACAAGACCGTTTTACTACGTCATTGTTGGGAAAAGCGGCCAAGAAATGGCAGGATCGAAGCAAGACAATGAAAGCGGTTCGAGAGTTTCTGAGACTCCTGCGCATTGCGGCGCGTGCCAGTTGTGGTGGCAGGTCTCGCAGATCGACCAGATCCTGCATAACGGCATGCCATGGAATGCTCATCATGGGCAGCACTCTGACACTGTCATTGCCTCCGCAATGTATCGAGTGACCAGTGCGCCTTCGGCAGGGACACCATGCCCCGGGCTTGACAGAATGCAAAGACCCGAGAACGTACCAAAGGTTCCAAGGTCCAACCTTCGCAAAACAAACATGCACAAAGATCAACTCGCACATACCGGTCCGGGAGCGTCCCGACCACGTTGTTGGGTCTCCAAGCGGCATAGCCGTTCTAAGTGTGGAGCAGAGTGTGAGTGTGGCATGGGAAGTACTTATCCTGAACGATTGTGAGTCGTCTGTAGTTGCTCGAAGGCAAGCCCCGCACCTTGGGCATACGGAGCCGCAGTTGTCCACCCATGTGTGTGTGTGATTGACGAACATGGGACTGCACCAGGAAACTCGCAGGATTGCCGCAACGACTCTCCCACTATGTTGACTGAACAGGCAGCCAACGACTCCGCGGCCTTCGCAGGGTCGGCTGGTGAGAGTGGGTCTCTTGAGAGCTCTTTCATAGCACCTTGGACGGGTACGAGCAACAGGCTGCAAAGGTTGCTCCACTCTCTGAGTCTGTGACCGTCGCTGCATGGCCGCCACAGGCTCCAGGCTCGACTTGCACTGTTGCAGGTGCCGACAACGCAACCTCTCCTGTCCGAGCTAGCCCACTGCTCTGATGACCACATTGCTCATACTGCGCAGTCGTGGTTCACGCAGGTTTTGCCAAGCTTCCAAGATGGACTCTGCAAGTTGCCAAGAGTGTCCTCAGTGAGACCAACGGAGCAAAGCCATCCCAGATCTCCGCGACTCGGTGAGCGCGGGGCTTTGTGCTAAGGACGATAGGGCCGCTCCCGCGGTCGCCTAAGGCGGAGAAATGAAGCTCCCCGAGTCGCATGGAAGAGTACGAAGAGTACCGCAGCCTCGTTGGGCGCGAGATTCCACTGAGACATCGCCTGCAAGTGGCACATATGGCACATTCTGGATGATGTTCCGGGTTTCGATGTCCTACTGAACCCGGTTGAACGGGCCAGAGCAGAATGGCAACTTGATACAAGCTGTCTTTTCATGGACCACAATTCGCTTTGGATTGGTACAGTCTTGTGATTTCACAGTTCGTTTGACTTTAGAGAGATTGTAACGTGCTATGTGCAGCAGGGCACGCAGAATAGCAGCTGGCAGCTCCAACAAGCGAGTCTGCAAATCCAGAAGAAAAGACACCATTTTCCTATTCCTGTTTGGGGTGCTGACGGGATGTGATGGGCAGTGGCTGCTGTACCAGGAATCAGCCCGCCAGCTGTGAAAGCGACCTGCATTTGTTTTTCCGACTTCCGGCGCCGAGGTGCTGTGCTTGGGCTTAGAGATCACCTGCCCGATTACACCGCTGGGCAGACCCAGGCCACAAGAGATGCTACGATTCTGCAGCATCCGCATCTTGCTTCTCTTCGTCGTCCATCTTTCGCTTGCGGCTCGCTGCACCTGACGCAGAGAGCTTTGCTAGGTCCAGGTACTGGGTACAGTCCCCTGGTCTCTTGTCAGTTTGCTCCATCCGAGCTCTACCAGCCTGCTGTCCCAGAGCTGCCCGCAGCGTCCTCCGCGCTCTGGCTGACAGAAACCAAGAACGGCTGCTACAGAGCAAGATTAAGCCTATATAATAGTAATAGTAAGACTAATATTAATATTATTACTAATATTAATACTAATATTAATAGTAATATCAATATTAATACTGATATTATTGCTAATATACGCTACGACTGCTCGTCACTTGTGCTATCCGCTTTTCAACTGCGTCACTGTGTGTGTGTGTGTGTGTGTGTGTGTGTGTGTGTGTGTGTGTGTGTGTGTGTTCGTCTCGGCGCTGGACTGGTGCAGCAGAGTCTCGGAAGCGGCTTCGGCTTCGAGCTCCAAGCCTTCGAAGCAAAAGCAGAAAAGAGACTCTAGCCCAATACCCCTTAATTGAGGAAAATACCTTAAATCATTAGGGGCTTCATGTCATGATTTAAGCTATATTCCTCAATTAAGGGGCTAGACCGTCAGAAAACTGTCGGGCCTGGGCCAGGAAGCAGCTGCAAGGCTGGCGTCACCCACTCCTTCACAGAGGCAGACACTTGCAGAGGACGAACCTCACGGGACTCAGGATGTGCAAATGAGGCGCCTGGCCAAAGATGCCGCCCCACTTTTTTGGTACCAAGCCTCTCGCAGCAAGGGGAAGTCGTCCAGATTCGTCCAGGCACAGCTGAAGATTTACGTGTGGTGCCGGGCAGTCGCAGTCGTATTGAAACCCATTACTCCCATGAAGACGGACGTAACGCTTGGGAAAAACATGCAGCTAGCTGAGTCATGTGAAGCAGGCCGGTGCTCCAGATGCTTACCATCAAACCCTGAGCTAGCAGTAGGCCGGTGTAGCTACTTGATGGGTTGCCTTTTGACACCCCGTCCTCCAAGCGTCCCGGCTGCCAGAGCGAATGCCATGGTGGCCAATGCAGCGCGGGCATAGGGATCCTTTGCCAGTGCACTCATCGCCCGTGGAAATGTGTACCTCAGAGGTTACAGCCCGACTTCAGTGTGCAACCCAGTCTCGGGGAACAACGCCCAAAGCGCTCGTTGAACAGCAGGCCTACCAAAGAAGGTTTCATTACCTCACATACCGCATGTGTGGTCCTGTTTTGCAGCCTGCCACTGCTTCGCCGAAGCACCAGTCATACACATCCTCTGGATCTTCACCATCAGAATCGGCTGCGGAACCAGCCGGTGGGGGATTCGCGGCGTACAGCGCGTGCAGCAGAATTGGCATGTCAGGGACAGCAATAGTGACGGGTGCAATCTCCAGAGTTGTCACCTCTTCCTCCTCGATCTCGCACAGCTCGGATACGATCTGGACCGCGGCTCGTGCGCCAGGCTCGATGTTTGAAGCGCCCCAAGGCAGTCGCATGCCCTCCCACTCTCCAGAAAGGGACCGGATCAGCACACACTTGTTTCCGCGTAAAATCAAGCCACCCACCAGGCGGCTTGGGCCCAGCTCCGCTGTCAGACTCTCTTCGTCCTCATTGCCATCACCTACCAGCTCAAAATTGAGTGGTCAAAGTCAAACTTATCCCTTTTCTGGCCGCTTCTAGCCATGCTTTCGACTCGAGCCTTGGCACTCCTGATGACAATCATGGCTCATTGGATCAGGGTGTCTCGGATCTTGAGCCGAGATCGCTGCAGGGAACGAGCAGCCACACCCTGGATACTTGGCCCATAGCGGTGGCTTAACTTCTCTGGACACTTCCAGTGCGTCTGATATTGACATGCCGGAAATTCTCGTTCAGCATATGAGTACATTGACGAAGAAAAGAGGCTCAGACTACTTTTTCAGTTTTGTCTTGTTGCTAAGTGCGAGTGTTAGTCAACAAGCAGACCGGCCTCATAGGTGAGGAGGAGCGTCATCTCCCAGCAATGCGCTTTAGCACAGGCGCTGATTGCTGACGTAATGAGAGCAATGTCTGGAGAGAAACCTTCCTGGATGATCTGGCTCAAGAGCTGCAAGGCTCGTGCCCACTGTTGTCCTTTCTCAAAGCTGGACAGGACCGCTCCAAGTAGGCTGAGGTCCGGTGTGAGTCTGCTCGACAAAGCATCGCTGAACAAGTGCAGCGACCACATCCATCTTCCCGCCTTCTCACATGCTGTGATTGCGGAATGAGCTGCGATCAGATTGGGTCTTCCATGTCTTAGGGAGTGGAGATGGAGCAGCTGCAATGCAAGCAGCCAGCGGCCCTGCGAGGAGCAAGCGGTGATGAGGCTGCCCGACGTGATCTCATCTGGCTCCAAAGCTGACGAGGCCATCACATCCACCAAATGCAGTGCCCAGGACCACCTCGAGGCCTTGCTGCACGCACTGATCACGGTATTGTAGGTGGTCAAGTCTGCCCTTAATCTCATCTGGCCGACGAGCCGAAGCTCGCGCAAGGCTGCTTGCCAGCTGTGGCACTTCTCCATGGAGCCCACGATCATGTTCACTGCAAGTATGTCGGGCTGGATCTGGAGCTGTCTGGATATCTCCGGAACCAGCTCGGGTTTGTGCTTGCCACAGATGCTCAAAGCCGCCTTTAGCGTGCCCATGTCGCTGGAAATTTGTCGCCTCTTCATGTCCTCCAAAACATGGAAGGCGTGCACCCAGGATGCTTGAACATGGCGCAGTGACATGATGAGTGCATTGAAGTTCGGGGTCTCCGATGCCAGATGCCGTGCCATCAAGGCTTTGGATACCTGTGTTGCCCGAGTCAACGCTGAAATCACTGCACTGGAGCAGGTGGTATCGGAGTCGGGTTGCAGTTGCACAGAGTAAGCTTCTTTCAACAGCACCAAAGATGTCTGCCAGGCGGTGCCGCTGCGGCACGCCGTCAACAGTGCAGCATAGGATCCCACGTCAGCTACGCGCTGTAGTCGCATGTCCAAGTGCAAGCCCAGAGCCATTTGCCAAAAATCTGCACGTGTCAATTTGGTTACTGCCACAGTATAGGGTACTACGTTCTTTTGGTCCCTCGGAAGCTTCTGCAGCAAATTCAAAATCTGCTGCCACTGCTCTGCACTGCAGGATTTGATCAGGTTGGCGATCGTGATCCAGCTTGGTGTAGCTTTCTGTGCCTGAAGGCCTCTGCTGCCCGAGCTAAGTCGAACATGGCATTTACAGCTGCAACAAATGCGTGTCCACGATGAGACTCTCGCCACGCGTCTAAGGAGGGCAAGACTTGATGCAGCGAATATGATTCGTCTGGCTGCGCAGTCAACACTGCCTGAGTTGCCGTGAGTGCATCTCAGACACGGGCCATGCTGTGAGAAGCGAGGATGTCTGTGCCTCTGTGACTTCGTGACCACATCCCGCCGGCATCTAGCTCTACATCCGGCAGGCGCCTGACAACTGCAATTAGCATGAGCCTGCTTGGGCGGCGGGTCAGAAAACCTCTCGACTCGCGCGGATGTGCGACAGAAATCGCAAAAACCTGCCAGCAGCATTCTGTCAGCTCGCCCATTATTGCGGAGTTGGAGCCAGCGGTCTGCGAGCGCCGTTGCGGTCGGTCGGTAATTAGCCTCACTTCTGCATCTTCTGCTCATGCCCCGGCGCGACATGGCGATCTCCAGGTCCTCGGCCTATGCGGACTTTTGACGATGCGACAACAGCGAACACCTCAGCTGTGGTGCCCCAAACCTTTCTTCTGAGCCTTCTGGACCTCCAGCGCGATCAATTAGCTGTCCTGGAGCCCCGGACCCAAGTATCGAAAAGCCGCAGTCTGGCGCGGCAGGCCACGGCACGCCTCTGCTTGGGAGCTGGCCTCTCAAGCTTTGGCCTTGGGGCCGCAAGAAGAAACCCACACCACGAATGCGTGAGCTCGAATCAGAAGCTCAGGGGATGCGACGCGAAAGACCATGAGGTCGTTGACGAAGCTCTGCCTGGCGAGGCTCGTGCAGGTGTAGCCAGGTGTTTCGAGCCATCGATTCCATGAGCGTGCGGCATTTCACACCCAGACTTCAACTTGCTCGTTGCATCTGGGTCGAAGCTGACATGTGCCTGCATCAAGCAGAAATCAGTGGTTGTACTGCAAACTCGCAGAAACCAAACCGCACACAACACATGAGAGGCAGCAAACATCAGCAAACCTCCTTCTCCACAAGCTTGATACGATCCTCCTGTGCGCTGCATTTGGCGTACCAAGTCGCTTCTGGAGAGACAGCCGGTGAACGACCCTCCAATCCGCCAAAGTCAGGTCCTTTTCCGGCTGCTTGTTCTCTTCAGCCCCTGGCCCCTTAGACACGCACACACGAATTGTGTGCAACCCTCGGAGAGCCTGTCTTTCCTCAAGAAGCTTGGCGCAGAACCCATGACAGAACGAGGCCTCCATGCTCCAAGTGCCTTTAGAAGACCCCTTAACACCACGGGAGCATGCTGGTGAAGCTCGGAGCCATGAGATTCGGGCCGGCCAATGTTCTGCAGCAGCGGCACCACCTCTAAGTCTTTCATAGCCCGTGGATGCATAAATTAGTTGCATCATGGCTTTCCGCTCGGTCGTCCGCCTTTCCCTCCGGCAGCAGTGTGACCACATCGAGGCACAGGATCCAGTCCTGAGGTCGCTGTTCTGGTCCGGCAAGGAGCACTTCGAGGCGGCTTAGGCTTCATGCAAACGTCAGGAGCGGTTGGCATGGATGCTGAGTCGTGGTCGAAGCGGCGTGCCAAGTCTAATGAAGCTTTCGTCAAGTCCACCTTCCGGTGGAACATCATGGCTGACCGTTTGTGTGAAGTGGTGCATCCAGCAGAGCAATGAAGCACAGCACCCGGATGGACCACGAATGTCAGCACAGCCGCGCCTGTGAAACCGATCCACCCGTGATGTCGGACACGGCTTCCGTAGCGTCCAGAGCTAAAGCCTTCACCAGATCGCTGTCTTGAATGGTGATGCCATACAGATCGTGTCCCGATCCGCCTCAACCAGCCCCGTGTCATTCAGCCACAGGCTGTACTGCCTCAGCTGCAGACCAGGTAATGTCTGTTCTTGGTTCGACATGCGCCGCGACCATGGGCCCAGCCCACCCCCAGCTCCGAAGTCACCCACAGACACGCGGGGAGCAGTACCTGGTCTTGACGATGCCACAGCTGTAGCCTTGACCCTCACGCTCCAAGTAGGCCGACCGTAGCGAGGTTTCAGGATGTGTCGTAAAAGTCCACGCAAGAGGCCCTGCATGCCGGCATCATGCCGCCCGAATTGTGGTTACAGCACATATCGTTGCAACAAGACTGGAAAACTGGGGCCTTGTCCACGGGCCACTCATTGAAGCTCTGACGGCGGAGGTACTCGAAAGACGAATAAACGCCTTGCCATGGCGGCTGCCGAAACTCAGTGCACAAAACGTAGCTAAAGGCATAAGGAGAGGATGGGGATCGCACCATCCTTACTAAATCGATGCTCCTCGCCGGCACTGAAGTCCTCAAGAAGGTTCATAACACAGTGCTACCACTGCTTCAACGAGGACCCGACTGGGCTTCGAGCATACCTCATATTTAGTTCCTCCGCTTTGCGGACCAACATGAGCTCCTGGAGTAGCTGCGCTTCCACTTCCTTCCTAAGTTGCCGAGAGCGGTGTCCCCTGCATCTTCTCGGACACTTGGGCTGCTGACGCGTGGAAGTCCATGAACTTCTGCACGGAAGAAACATACATGTTGCCGAAGATGAGGTTTTCTGACCTGTCCGACTTTGGTAAGATACTGCAGGGTGTTTTATAGCGTCGTGCAAAGACAACTGAGGTTTCCCACCAGCTGACATTGGGAGGGGGCCCTCCTGGCTCGTTTGCAGCCTTCAAATGCAGTCGGATGAGCTGTGAGCTAAGACTTGAAAATGCACACGCAATTATTCGCAATTTAAACATGCGGTGATTAGCACCAGTCTTCCCTTTTTCGTGAACTGGCTTGACAAAGCAAGCAAACTTGCGAGGACGCACGACATGCCCACAGACTCTCTTTTCGTAGCTGACATCGCGATGTGAGATGGTCGCCGCCAGCGATACAAGAAACACACCGAGCCTGTCACACATGTGGTCTTTTCGTTTTGAGCTCTGCTGCGCCTTGGGCCGTGTGTGTGTGTGTGTGTGTGTGTGTGTGTGTGCATGTGTATGTGTATGTGTGTTTTGCATGCATGCGTTCCGATCGTGCGGTGCACTGAGACCTTCAACTTCAGCCAAATGCTCAGCAGCCGAAGGTGACAGCCCTGTAGCTCGGTCACGAGTAGGTGAAGCTGTGAAAGAACTCGCAAAGGAGCGACAAGGGCGACGAGGCCGTCTTCTGCGGCCAGGCCTCAGGCCTGAAACTCCCGGAGTCGGCGAGCGATGGTGTTGGTGTGATCCGAACATGTTGAGTAGAAAGGGTGGAGGTCTGGAAGGCTGAGCGCTGACTCCGTGCCAATTCGATGGCACATGTTCCTGGTAGGAGAGTATACAATGATGCCCGAGGCGGCCGTTTTGTGATAGTTTTGTGATGCGGCAGTGCTGTTTGTCACGTAGGAGATCGCGCTCCCAGTCTGCACAAACCTAGATCATGTTTCCGTCGTGGAATACGGTACAGCTTGGCCTCTACCATGACAGGCGACTTGCTGCAAAGCATGCTTTAGCGATGTCTTCGCGGTTTCATCGAACTTGCAGGTGCAACTCCAACATGGAGGAGCCACTGCACTGTATTCGCCACTTTAAGTTGGACAAAAGTCGGCCGTCTTGCTTCGGGACGACAACTACTGTATGCGGTTGGACACGTCGGGGGAACAGAGATGCGACAGAATGGCCTTTGATGAAAGCCCCTTATAAGCACTTTCATTGATCCCTCACTAGGGCACCCGCCCGAAAGAAGGACAACCCTTGCTTCACAGACATACTTGATCCAACTAGGAAGCATCACGCCGTCCATTCGAGCCTGGCCGTCCTCGTCGAGCTCTCGCCATGAAGTGACCTAGGGCAACAGGCCAACTTTGCATGCTGACATCGAGCGTTCTGCCAGCGGAGCGGCATCTCCCAGAATGCCAAAAGCAACACTGTTCCAGAGCAATGCTGCGTGGTCACCTTACAGAGGGTGTTTCGAGCTTTGTCAAGAAGCACGCAATTGCGCCGTATTTGCTGAGCCCGGCTCTGAGCATCCTCTTCCATGTGATGATCGACTGCATCAGAATTGTGCGCATGGCGGCAGAAATGCAGTTCTTCTCGTCAGGAACCTTACTCTTGCCACAAAACCAGCGCACACCAGGGGGCTGCAGGTGCCGGCTAGGGAGGAGACTGTAAGCGTCTGTAAGCGAACAAAGTATTGCCAGACCTGTCTGGCACTCCGAGCGCTACGTCTGTGCATCGACTGTATGGTCACCAAGCCGTGCCTTCCGCATCACACGGTCCTGCGTCTGGCTGAGTAGCCAGGCCCAACTGTGCTCCTGGGACCACTGAACCATGAACCGGCACGGCAACACGTACTCCTGCCTCGGGATATTTGTGCAGAGTCCAGTACAATCCAGAAGTGCCTGCAGCGAAAGCTCCCGGCCCACAAGCCCGACTGTTGTCTGGAGTAGCCATTACGGCCTGTTGCGTTCAAGTGCAGGCTGTTGATATTCTCCGCCAGATCTTTGGACTCCTGGCAGGTCCCGTCGTCAACTCGTCAAGCAAGGAATCTACTGCCCATATCACAATGATTTCGCCCACATTTCCATCGACAGCAAGGAAAAGCTGCCAGAGGTTTGCTAACTCCTCATCGGGGGTTTGCCGACTGCCTAGATGGGGACGCCAGCATATTGTCACAGTCATGCACTGAAGCCAGCCGGCTGCGCATGGCTGATGGATCGACACTAGCTGCATACATCTCTTGCCGCAGAGCTGTCCTGGGACATGGCCACCAGGCGCTGGGGGCAGTCGAGCTCCTGACGCCGAAGCGCGCAAGAGAGGAGCAAGCGGCAGGGTAGGGTCGGGTAGGGTCCCTTCTGGCTCAGAGCCTTGGCCATGACGTTAAACTCTTGCAAATGCAGTCTTCGCTCTGGCTGTTGCTTGTCCTGCGCAAGGGCAGATACTATAAGATGCCTGCAGCTACGACAGGAGCAACTTCTCGTCTGTCCAACTTCGTCAGCTCGAAGTAAAGCAGCCGGAAAACCTTCTCAACCTTCGTGGGATACGCAAACGTGGTTCCAAAGTCATACGCGGACATTGTGGAAACGGGCGGCTGGAGAAAGCCAGGTAAAGCTAGACAAATACTTTGTTCACATGCCGAAGATTTAGTGGCTGTGGACGAATGAAAGGGTAGGTCCGGAAACACAACAGAGAGCAATGGTGCTGGGCATGCTGGCCTTGCAGATGGAAAATCAACCCCTAAACCATGCGCCCCGCCAAGATAGACAATGCTAGATGGTGCTAGAAAATGCCAGATAATGCTGGATTCCGGCCAGGTCCCGGAGGACCAGGGATGCTAGAAGATGCTACATTATGCTAGACCATGCTAGATAATGTTAGACAATGCTAGAAATGTTAGATTCCGGCCACTGCCTGACGACAATGCTAGAAACTGCTAGACAATGCCACAGCATTTGCCCGGGCCGTGTTTCTTTCTCAGGTCGGACATCTTGAGTCGAAAACTCACAGACAATCATGTCCACAGAAGCGGAACGCGCAGTTCTCAAGCTCAGCAGATTTGCTTCCGAGTGAAGGAAAATGTTAGCAGTTGGTTTCTGAATGAAGGAAAAACTAGCAGCTTGGTTGCTGAATGCAGGAAATATCTAGCAGCATGGTTTCGTGAACACAGGAAATATCCAGCTTTATCTAGCTCCCGTGCTGGTCTGCCAGCTGCGAAGAAGACGGCTTACGCCATTATGACAAAGTCCGCCTGTGATAGGGGTGGATAGTTTCATAAGCCGGTTCCACAATTTTCCGATCCACACGAAGCTTCTTGCAAGCCATGATGCTGGCTGCTTGTTCAAGTCGATGGCGGCAGCTTTGTCCGTGGCCGATGGCTCCTCTGCTCACAGCCGATCAGCATTCACCGCATCCACAAGTAACTGAATTGAACTGAGCTTCGGGTGGCAACAGATCTGGCATCCCCGATCCAGCATGATAGCGACCTAGCCGCATCTAGCCGCCACCAACGCTGACTTGCTTATTCCTCCATGCAGGCATGAAGGTGTACTGCAGTTTATAATGATTTACCTCCACAGTCCTAGCTACCATAAACACGCTACGCATTAATGAACGAAAAACTTCATACTGCAGTCACCGGATTCCCATGCGGTTGTTGCATTGTCGCCTGACTCATCCACCATCGCCATGCTGACGCCGAGGTGCAACAGCCTGTAGACATCAAAGCACCGCCTCGCCTAATCTTGCAACACGGCCATTTGTCATCGAGGTGCAAGATCACGCCATTCAGGGCAGCCATCCTGGCAGAGTCGGTAGCAAACGAAAGGCATCCGCAGAAGGGCCGTTTCCACTGGCTTGCCTCACCATCCGCGCGAAGGTTCAGCAAGCACAAAGCATCGCAGGACGTGCACATCAAGCCAAGCAGGGCAGGATGGAGTTTTGGGAGCTCCGCGTGTCCGGGTCTAGAGTCTGGGCAGTGGTTTTGTGAGCTCGTGCGCAAGCGCCTTACAATCAGATGCTGTCGGGGCTTGGAACGTCCTGCGCACTGGAAGATCTGCTGCTCCCTGAGCAGAGCCTAAGAGGTAGAGATCATAGCAAGAGGGCTTCAGCGACGTCGTCTCGAGCACAGAACAAGCTGCGAAAGCCTTTCAAGACTTCCCTCCCAGGTCCCAAGCAGCAACGCCGAAGTTACAGGGCAGAACGCAGCAAGGAGCTTTTTGGATTTAAGGCGGGGGCCCTTCGGAGAGCTGGAACTCTGGGCTCCTGGGCTCCTCACCACGGCGCATCGGCCGTGCGCTACTGAAAAGCGCCATGCTGAGAAGGTATGTACAAAGAGCAAGGCCCGTCAGGATGGCCATAAACCTACTGAGTTTCCTGACATGCTAGTACCGAACTACGGTGGGTACGTTTGGCCATCATGTCAGCTTGTGGAGAGCTGTGGCTTGTCTTTTGGCGGGATCTTGTCGGGCTCTGCTCTCTCAGAAAGCCGAAGTTTTCATCGAGCCTTCTCTTATTCGCGTGTCATATCTACAAATTAGGTCGGACAGAACATGAGCCTTGACCTCATGACATGCTGCCACTTAGCTCTGGCCCAATCTGCATCTTCATGGTGGCCTGCAGCTGCTGAAGCTTCCACGGCTGCTTAACGTCTATGAAATTCTCCATGAAGAGCCCGAAAGACCTGCAGCTGAAGGTGGAGCACTGGGGTGAGGACCGAACATCACAGACAAAAAGATTGGAACGCATGTCAAGTAGCTCAGGCTCGCCGTTGAACTTCTCGCCATTGACGCTCCAGTATGCAAAATCCAGGTCACGCTTCTGCAAGTATCTCAGCATGTGCTCCCACCACAAGGACTGGGTGTTTGTTCCGAACTCACCGAGCCAGACAGGAGCTGCAGCAGGGCCAGACCCAGACAAAAGAAAACCCCACTTGAAGTCCAGCTCTCTCTCGAAGGCCTCGTAGGAACCGAACTCCACCCACATGGCCGAGAGCCCAGAAAATGCTACGCAGGCCACAAGGAGGAGTACACAGCCCGGTGAGCGGCACTGCTTGACATGCCAGGCTGTGGTACAGCTGCGCTGGTACGACTCAGATGGGAGGGGCTCTTCGTTCTCCGGTAAAGGCAATGTGGGCCGACTCGGACGCAGAGTTCGCAAGTCCGCTGGCTCCAGATGCTGTGTGAAGGCCAGAAACGCAGCTCTGATCCACAGCACCAAGCTTACCAATGCCAGAGTTGGTGCAAACACCGCACACAGTGTGGCCGCCATAAAGCCATCGAATGCGCAAGTATGAACAAATAACGGCACGACTTTGAGGCATAGAGCACACAATGCCGTCAGAAGCGCAGCAGCTGTGAACTCCAAGCCACATCTTCTACTGTGGCCGTCCTTGGGTTGGCATTTGAGGATCACCCAAGACATCCAACTGCTCCTAGGTCCTAGGTAATCCGACACGACATGTGCATACGACAAAACTACGAGAGCGCAACGCCACAGCTCGCCCGAGCTTCTGCTACCATCTGTTCTTCGGCACGCACGCTGCGGCAGCGGCATCGCGTGCATCCAGCGATGTAGTAGAAGTAACGTAGGATCCGCTGTGTTGCAGGGTTCGGCCTGCGACCTCAGACAAACTGCATTGCCTCACCATGTGCCATGTGCAGCCAAGAAAGCGCCATCCTCTGCAGGCATTCGCAACGTCTTCACGTGACTCTGCCGTGTAACTTACCTTTGGTTAGTATAGGAAATGGAGGAATGGGGTACAATTATAACTACTATTCCTACAATTCTTCCATTCCCTACTAACCACAGGTAAGGTAAGTAGACTGGCGGACCTTGGGCTCCCACGTCCACGGCGAACCAAGGCACTGAGCAGCCTCGGCTTGGCGCAAGGACAAGGGCCGCGAGATGGGCTCTGACACTGAGGACTGAAAATTGGGAGGATCCTGGATGACTCTGGTGTTTTCAATGGTACAGGCAGCTAGTCCCGGTGCCTGAATGCATGGTTCTGTTGGTACGACTCTTGGTTTCTTGTGCTGCCTTGTTTATGCCAACGCACTACCAATTGACCCGCGGGTTGTGCTTGTTTTTGCATGTGTATGTCTGCTTCTGGGGTGTTGGGGGGGGGGGGGTTGCTTCGTTCTGTCTGACGACGTCCATTACCGAGCAGTCCAAGGAGTAACAGTGTTACTAGTCGTACTTTTAGTTCTGCATGGTCTTACAGCCGTAAGTTCTGCTGCACTCGAAAGCCTTGCGATGCTGCTACTGCTGCTGCTGCTGCCACTGCTGCAGCACCTGTACTGCATGCTCTTACAACCATATACTTTCCATTTAGTTTGCGTTAAGCCAGAGTGAAAGCCTGTGGTCAGGGGCTCTTGATCCCTCACGACCCTAACCATTCTATTGCACCAGAATAGTATACTATCATCCTATAACAGTATACTATTGCAAAGCGTCTGAAACTCCAAACAAAGATCCCAAGCGTGCAAGCCCAAAACCCTGGAGCTAGAAGCTTGAAATTGAAACCAGCATCCCAGGCCCTGGCGAAGCAGTGCAAGCCCCAACACCTTCAAGTTCAAAACCTAAACCCGACATCCCACGACCTTTTGTTTTCGCTTCGGCACACTAACGAAAAAAAAACGCTACTTCCAAAGATGATACAATGACGAAACAAAGACCCGAAGACTGTAGAGGTTGCCCAAGGCTTTCTCCCAAAACAAGGACTGTGCCAAACGCCCCCAAAAGACTGCAAAAGCATGGCAACACCATGCAACACCGAAGCCCCACAAACCCAAACATCGACCGAAATCCAAAAACGCCACTTTATTCAGAAAACTGTAGAGGCATGCTGCCGGACGATGAAGCCATCAAATGCAAAACCTTGCTTTCGCCGCGGCGAAAACACCAAAAGCACTAATTCCAAAGATCAACCAATGACGAAAGCAAGTCCCGAACACTTTCGAGGTTCCGCAGGGATCTCTCCCAAAACAAGAACTATCAAGAACTACTAATCTAGAAATCATCGGTTTACCTCGTTAGAAACTGCCATTTTGTCTTGAAAAGCACCCCTGCTATCGCGCGGGTGGTTTCATGTGGCGTTACCTTGTTTATGATGCTTTGTGTGGGACACAGGAAATTCTAAGCACCCGGCCAGCTCACCGCAAAAACGACTGCAAGGACTAAGCAGTAGATCCTGACGCGCTTGCAACTATGATGACTAGGCTGAGGAAGTGTCAGCACAAGTCACACCTCCATCAATCTGAGGCATGCACTGGATAATCTCTCTTGCAAGAAAATGAAAGTTAAACCAATTGTACCTGCAGACACGAAGCCCACAAGACCCGTTCGAAAGATGGAAGGATTCACAAGTACGGGTATCGGGTCACTCGTGGGCTGTATAAACAACGCGGCCGCGCAGAAACGGAACCTGCGGGCAATTACGGCGGGAGAGGTCATACGCCAAGCATTGCATTCTGCATTTGTCAGCGCCTCTGTGTGCACAGGATATGTCGGAACCTGCTCTGTCGAAGAAAGCCCTGGGAATCAGGGTCGCAAGGCCTGGCAGTCCTGCCTGGCAAAGGAACAAACCAAAATACACGCCAGAGATGATGATCAGCATGTTTTCCTGGGTGCACATCTCCGGTGCTTGGAAACCAGAGCACGACGGGCTGTGAACCAAGGCCTGAGCATTGGCATCCAGAACCCGGCGGGCACCTCTCACCGAAGCTGCTGCCCTGAAGCGGATGCTCATAAACATAAGACACAAGGACCTAAGGTGGTGATATGTGGTGACTGAAGGCCGGGCCAATCGGTCCGAGGATCCTCCGTGTGCCATCCAGGCCAGGCAAAGCCTGCCCCCCGCTTCGCCACTCATGGAATGTTCACAGAGTCCGACTACGTCTCCTTTAACTTTGAGGCCTCTCTTAGTCTTCAGGTTTCGGGGGAGCTGCGCCATGCTGCGCCCTTTCGAGGCACCGGGCCTGATGGCCGGATTTCGTTTCGAAGATCGAAGCCGACGACCTGAAGCGACGCTCGACAGGAGTGCATGGGAGGGGCGTTACAAACGAAGCCCGAGGCTTCCGCAAGTGGGTTGTCCTTGTAACGGGAGGTCATCAAACCTGAACTGGTTGCGAACTCTGCACGACAACTGGGAGTTGGCAAGTCACGATGTCTCCATGCTGTCTACATGAATAGCCGCCAAAGTTGGTAGAGCCACACCACACCACGAGGCACAGCATGTTCGAGCGCAGGATTAAATGGCCAGAGGCTCCCGCCGAGAGCATCCAGCCATGCCGTCTCTTGGTAAGCTGGAGTGTACCACAAACCTTCTTGGTCCGTGGTGCTGCAGCACCTTAGGCGAAGAGTGAAGACGAGGCTGGAGGGCTATATCCACCTGCCCACAGCATGGGCCGGGCCGGTTCCGACCAAGTCCGGAGCCACATGCTGGTAGATACATGGTTGTTGAGGATAACCTCAGTTTAAGAGCTGCGTGCGTAAAGCAAGATGGAGCGTGGAGCGCCAGTTGCCAGTGCAGCCATGGCCACCATTAACCCGTTGGCTGTCAGCTCATGCACCGTCACATCGAAGAGCTGCAAGCAGGAAAGGTTGCAGCGTGGCAGAATGATATAAGCTAGCCCGTTGATTACGGCTTCTTCGTGGCCTCCAGAGGAGAGACGTCCTGTGCGAGCATCACAGCATCACATGACCATGCTTCTTGGCGTGTGACTGCACCTGAAAGGCTAGGAGAACGGTCCTGGAGCGCGGGATTCGCCGCCAGAGACACCTGGCCGTGCCGCTGAGATGCCCCGCAACGGCAAGCTGCGAAGAAAAGACAAGACTATAAAACGGCATTGCTGCCTCCTGTGTGGTTTCTTCAGGAGCCATCGAGTCAACAAGAGCATAAACGAACGTTGTGCCACTCCTATGAACCTCCTTTCAGAAGCCTAAGTACCCCCTGCACCTCGGGGTTGGGGAGCCGGGAGATGTTGCCGAGAACGCCATCCAAACTGAATGGCAGCCGGACACCTCCAGTGCCATGTGAACTCGATTCGCCACCAGCCCAAGTGGTAAGCTGCACACAATTGAAGCCCGAAGCTGCGATGGTGCGTGCGATCTCTCCTGCTGCGCGTGGACCCAAGACCACGTTGGATTACAGCTCAACGCAGTCCTGCTGTCTGACGGTTGAGTCCATTGGCTGCCAGCTGCGGCAGGTGTGCACCGTACCTTGTGCATCTCTGTACACGTCAGAATGCCACTCGCACCCACATTCCGAGATGACCCAAGTCTCGGGCCAGTTGACACAGTGAAGCCGCACACGCCGGCCTTGTGAATCAACCACGTAGCCTGCAGCTCAGTGGCCAGTCTGCACTTGCAAATGCTCTGGAAAAGCAGATGAGCACAGCATGGGCCGCGGCGACCGCTCGTCTGCAAGGGTAATGACGGGAGCTCCTGCTATGTCATGCAGCCTGTAGCACTCCCAGAGCTCAGCACCGTTTGTGGCCTTGGGCCATGCACCTGCAATGCAAGAGTCATCACCGCTGCGCTTATCATGGATGCGCTTACGATTGTGGCCAAACTCCCTAGGCTGCGGCCAAGCCTTGCACAAATGCGCCCAGCAGCGCCAGCCATTTCAGGAGCATGTTAACTGAGCTACTCAAAACTGCTTTGGGCCTTGCACGAGTTTCTGTGGTTACAACTGCTATGCCCACACTATCTACTCAATGGAGCGGGCCGTCAGGGCGGCCAATGCTCCGTTGGATACCTGCTTCTATGACCTGATCATTGTGCTCCTTATGCATGAGCCTCCTCTGATTGCAGCTGCTTCAAGCAGCCATCTAGGTCAAAACTCAGCTAGGAAACGGCTGAATGAAAGATAGCACAACTCTCTGCCACTGTGCATATGCAGGCATCGATCTAGTCGACCCGCCTGGCACCGCTTGCCGGGCCCATTGCCTGACACGATCTCAGAATCTTCCGGAGCCTTGTGCGATTCTGCTTGAGTGTTTGGGCGGAGTGCTGGTGCAGACACTGCATTTCCACTTCAGGTGGCAGCGTACAAGCAGGTAGCTGTTGCCCGGCGATAGCGGATCTCCAAGCTTCAAGGGGGCAAAACGCGCCTCCACCGGGTACGCAACCCCTGGCCCTGAAATGTGGAAGCTGCTAGTCTCAAGTCGCGGCCGTGAAGCGTGTAAGTCCAGTGCTGCTTTCAAAGACATGGATGGTATGACTGCTGCAGAGCCTCGTCTAAAGACGCCACTCTGCTCACATGCTTGCATGTGTCTGGAGCCGCACATGACTGCGAAGAGCAAACCAGGACATCATCGCGGGATATCGCGGGTTTATGACGGTGCACGCACACGTGGATCCATTCTGTGTTCGAGCCCTCTGCTTTAGGTGATCTTTGGCCTGGGTTTCCTATAGGTCTCTAGGCAGGACGGACGTAAGCACAAACGGAAAATTCAGCGCAGAATCCCTGGCAAAGACATGTCCCGGGTTGAACCGGATACTGCTTTTGGCGCAGAGGCACTCAAGCGAAGCGACTACTAACACAATTGCTCGACTTCGTCGAGGCATGAGGCATGAGCCAACAGAAGCCTGAACCACAAGTCCGTGCCTCAGCGGCATTTGCGTGCCATAAGCGCTCTTGCAATGCTCAATGCCAGAGTTTGAATGCCAGCAAAAGCTCTCAGATCAAGGCCTCAAAATGGCAGCAACGATCCCTTGCCTCAGCTTTGAATTGCCATGGCCGGCCCCCCAAATTGCGTGCTCTAACTCTCCATTTATTTCGACTGAGGCCAGCGCTTGCGCACTTGCAGCATCCTTTGCATATCCTGCAGCTGCTAATCTGGATCTGGAGTAGAGCAAGGGGCCATGGGTTGTCACTACAGCCTCCAAGCCATGCCCGTAACAAGGCTCAGCGCGCGCCTTTCGGCGTCACTTCGCAATGCATTCTGAAACTTGTTCGTGCCTTGAAGAGGCCGAGCCTCCCTCCAGGAATGTACGACAACAGGAACCACCTTGCAATACGACAGCACCGTCTGAGTGAGTCAGAACACGACTACTCGGTGCGGGGGTGGACTACTGCTGAGTTCGATGTGCTCAAGCGCACAAAGCTCGAACGCAGTGCAATTCTTCAATTGGGAGCTTGTCGTGAGTGCAGAAAAACACAGCCACGCATCGCCGTGTGCTGGGAATGTAACCTCTGCTGGGCTTGGGAATGAGGTTCCGCTATTGTCTGTTTCGTCTCCGACTGCACTGGTCAAACGTAGAAACAAGCCGTGCCAAAAAGGCTTTCATTGCCACTGGCCAGGCCGAGCATACCGAGCAAAACACCTCGTCCATCTGCTATTGCTCATGCTTCACCTACAGTTTTCCGTAGTTAATCGCTTCCCGATACAGAACCGGCAGATTGTCCGACGCGAGTGTTGGAGAGTATGCAGCTCCCAAAGAACCGGCGGGGCCAGCTGAACCTACGCTGCTTTTGGATTCGACTGACGCACGCAGTAGCGATCTCGATGGGGCCCAACTGCAACTTCAAGATCTTCGTCTAGTCGGGAGCCAATGTGACTGTCGGTACGCATCTGGGCTGCCGGCACTAATGAACTCACCTGCAAGGCGAGGCGGCCATGTAAACAGGAGGCATTGCATGAGAATGACAATCTGACAATCGCTCCTGCACGGCAGAGAAGGCAATGGTCAACAAATAGGACCTGTTGAACATTGCAGTAGCATGGGAGGAGCGTGCCCGCTGACCCTGGCCTGTATATCAGCGAGGCCCACAGAGTGCCGCCCTTATGCAAGACAAGCCCACAGCTCTCCTACATAGATCGATGCTTCAGTAGCAGCAGCACCATCCAGCACAAGCTGTATCTGTAAGGACGGGAAGCCAAGCTGCCATGGAAGCGCTGTAGGTCACTGTAAACGGAAGCCGGCTGCGGGAAAACAAATGCCTCGCGAGTGAAGTCCCACCACTTCTTCTGATGCTGCAGAGCCTCCGTGCCTCGCGAAAGCCGCATGCCCACGAAGGGCCGAGAAGCTTCCGAGGAAGCACAGTGAACCTTGCGAATGCAGCATTGCGAAAACCCGCACGTGGGCGATGGACAACTGCAGTGAATTCTCTGCTGCGATGCAGCGAACAAAGCCGGGAATCTGACCAAGGGTGAAAAGCAACGCAAATTTCTGCGGCATTAATACCACGATAGGCCTCGAGGATGATAGCTTGCATGGTTGCCATTGCCGAGGAATCGTGAGGACGCTCGAGATGCCAAGGCGCAGACAGGAATACGAAGGCAAGACCTCATCAACACACCGCATCGCTGTAACATGGCACATGGCACATGCACACGTACACCGTGAGCAGATATGAGCAGCTGACTCATGAGAAAGCATCCAAGTAGAGCTCCCCCGAAGAAGGTCATCCACCTGGACAAGTCTCCATTGCAGCATCTTGCCATTGTGGTGAAGCTACAGTTGCATTCTCGGCCTCTCTCTGGAAATTGCATTCTCCGAAATGGTCGTGGAGGCTTGCTTGGCCATCCCCTGCAGTGGCTGACCGTAACAAACCTCTCTATGTTTTGCATGGCAAATTCAGCCGGCCTTTGCTTTCCCTGTGATGTCAGAGAAGCCCTGCTGAAAGCCCTGGCACGTACATCGGAGCGCGAAGTGATGTCTTACTTCCTTTGTGTGCTCTTATCGCGCTTTCCGACCGCTAAAGCAACGAGGCCTACAGCGGAACACTCTGCCGCGAACTAAGAGGATGCCTGCTGAGCAGAGGATGCGGCTTTGGACAACACATTGAAGTCTCCGGCCTCAGTTCCCATCTCTCCCGGATTAAGTCTCGGGTGAGAGCAGCAACCGCCAACCCTTGCTCCAAGCCTTCGCAGCAGCAGCTGCTTCTGCCATGCTGGGCAATGCATTGCCAATCTTTGAGAACCACCTGGCAAGACACAATCTGAGCAGGAACTAGAAGCAAAGCACAACCGCTCAGTCGCACGAAGAGGAGGCTTCAGTCGCAGTGGCGGCTGGTTCCTGGAGCAGGCTTTCTTGCTCAGCTCCCGAGATAGACTGGCATGCCAGAAACGCAGCGAGACCTCCACATCAGCCGCGGCGCTACCTCGACCTATCACACAAGCCCAGAGTTGCTGCGCACTGGACCGAAGCCTTCGTCGGCTCAAGTCCTGCAGTCTGTGGGAGTCTCTGAGTCCTCGACCAAATCCCTTGAGCTTCGTAGTGAAGTCATCAATGGCTCGGGAGCTGCTACCACGCATTCTGTGAACTCCGTCTTCTAACTCCGTCATAGCCACTTTGTTCCAGTGCGAGCTTCAGACACCAATGCACCACAAAAGCAGGGATTCATCGTTTCGCGTTGGAGCCAGTCACACAATCTAGCTGTTCTGCTTCGATGGTTTCGGTCCTGCTGGACAGCATAGTCAACTTGGCTTCAAGCGGTGTAAGCGCGCAGACCTCTGTGGCGAGGAATGAGGCTGACAATCCAACAATTCACTGATGCAGCAAGTCGTTCCTCCACGTTCTTCTAGGCTAGGCAATCCATGATGCCCTGACATGCTAGTGGCGGGCATGTTCAGTTGAGTTCTATGGGCCAACGCTGCAGCAGCAAGCAAATATAGCTCGTGCCTGCTGGTAATACCAGGTCATAGGTCATGCAAACACAGTTCTCTGCTGCCTTTTCTCGCCACAGCTTAAGCTTTCTCAAGCTTTCGAGCTACGTTTAACGCTACGTCATGATGGCATCAGCCGCATTGATGATCGGGGCAGGCTCGGGAGCCGGCTCCGGAGAAGCCCCATCTGCGCTTTCGGCAACCGGTATCTTCCTTGAGTTTGGCATGGCGGACTGTGTCAGGTTCTCCACGCAACAGGCACGCGTGCTGCGCAGGAACTCACTGACCGTGAGAGAGACGCCCATGGAGCCAACATCGAAGAGCAACGGCCGCTTCATTTCGGTGACAGAGCTGTCAACAAGAAGAAGTGGGGGCCGACCTTCAGCGTCAGGTGGATAGCCAAAAGGCGGGCAAACAAAAGCTGGGAACCCAGTCTCCTTGGAAATGTCGGCCAGCTTGCACTGTTTCACGCACGACACGTTCTTCTGTACAGCTTTGGCAACTTTCTCGACATCGGTCATCTTCTCGTGTGGCACGACACTGAGCACGCGCCTCCCCTCTACTTGCCACGCCACTGTCTGCATAAAATTGCCCTGCGAAACGAAGGACGAGTTAGCCTGCAGATACTGGTCCCAAGCTGGGATTTCTGCAGCCTTGATCTTTTCGGAAGCCTTTGAAGCCAGTGGTTTACCTTCTTTCTTTGCAATCGCCTTGGCTTTGGCTGCCTCTTGCTGCCTCAGCGAGCATGCTTCAAGATGCCAAGGGGAAATATCATAAGATCAAGGTGGTGCAGGAAGAACGACAGAGCAAGAACAGCAGCAAATCAATTAAATCTCAACCAGGGCACGCATATTTGATTGATCGGAAAGACCGCTGCAGCGTATACCTGGAAGCGGCATGCTCAAATCTGGCAAGTTTCCCGACGAGGCAAGCTCATCGCTCTGGACGGGAAACCCCGCATCCACAGAGACATGAGGCATCGAGCTCCGATCATTAACTTCGGGCATTCCAGACTCTGTTGCGGCTCTCAAGCTCTGATACTTGACATGCAGGGCTGCCAATTTGTGGACGGATCTGAAGCAAAAGCCTGTGCCTTCGGCATCTGACGCCGTGCTTCTTGAGGAAATTTTCTACCTAGGTCAAAAGCAAAATCGGACTGACAAAGCTGCTCTCCGAAGTGAAGTGAAAAATCTGGTACTTTGACCCAGACTGGTGGGAGCAGCTCCGCTTTCCGGTTCGGTGGTGCAGCCTGCAGGACAGTCTGAGACATTTCGCGATGTCCTAGGTGACTTATTCAATCAAGTCTAAGCACTGTGCCTCGTTCACTGGTCTTGGCTCTTGCTCGACAGGCCTTTCGCACTTGCAGGGTGCGAACGTGCGTGTGCGTGTGCGTGTGGGCGTGTGGGCGTGTGGGCGTGTGGGCGTGTGGGCGTGTGGGCGTGTGGGCGTGTGGGCGTGTGGGCGTGGGCGTGTGGGCGTGGGTGGTGGGCGTGGGTGGGTGTGGGTGTGTGTGGGTGTGTGTGGGTGTGGGTGTGGGTGTGGGTGTGGGTGTGGGTGTGGGTGTGGGTGTGGGTGTGGGTGTGGGTGTGGGTGTGGGTGTGGGTGTGGGTGTGGGTGTGGGTGTGGGTGTGGGTGTGGGTGTGGGTGTGGGTGTGGGTGTGGGTGTGGGTGTGGGTGTGGGTGTGGGTGTGGGTGTGGGTGTGGGTGTGGGTGTGTGGGTGTGGGTGTGTGTGTGTGGTGGTGTGGGTGTGTGTGTGTGTGTGTGTGTGTGTGTGTGTGTGTGTGTGTGTGTGTGTGTGTGTGTGTGTGTGTGTGTGTGTGTGTGTGTGTGTGTGTGTGTGTGTGTGTGTGTGTGTGTGTGTGTGTGTGTGTGTGTGTGTGTGTGTGTGTGTGTGTGTGTGTGTGTGTGTGTGTGTGTGTGTGTGTGTGTGTGTGTGTGTGTGTGTGTGTGTGTGTGTGTGTGTGTGTGTGTGTGTGTGTGTGTGTGTGTGTGTGTGTGTGTGTGTGTGTGTGTGTGTGTGTGTGTGTGTGTGTGTGTGTGTGTGTGTGTGTGTGTGTGTGTGTGTTTGTGTGTGTGTGTGTGTGTGTGTGTGTTTGTGTGTGTGTGTGTGTGTGTGTGTGTATTTGTGTGTGTGTGTGTGTTTGTGTGTGTTTGTGTGTGTGTGTGTTTGTGTGTGTGTGTGTGTGTCTGTGTCTGCACAGCCGACTGTTGGAGGCTTATCAAGCTAGGGGGCAGCACCCACCTTTACTGCTTGGTGAGATACTTCGACTGACAGATGCTCGTGTTCTCAGCGAATACAAAGCAAAGCAATGGCCTTCTTTTCTTTCCTCTCTGCGATTGGCCTTTGCAAGGCTATTGCAACCACATGGCTAGAAGGAAAGCTGGAGCGCAAATTGCACTCCTTCTGTGATCATCTGAGCCTTCTTATGTCTACACTTGCAATCGCCATGCAATCGTGCTCAGTCTGACTGCTACGCCCCTCTCTTCCTTCGAGGCACACGGAACGATTCGTGCCTGGACCTCGACCTGGCGTCTGTTCTCTCCCTCGTCCAGCTCCGGGGGTACCCTGCAAAGCTGAGCCGGAAGTTTCTCGTGCAGGACTCACACATAGAGACCACATGTAAACATGTATATACATATAAGGCGCGCGCACACACGCACACACACACACACACATGCACCCAGCGACCGGCGTTTGTGTGGCCTCTCTGCCTCTTCTGCCAGCAGTCGTTCGCTGAGGTCGCCCCGGGGTGCCGGTGCCTGCCCCTGCCTCGTGAACTCAAGAACCAATTCTGAGCGCAGGATTCGTGCTCTTATTCGTTGGTGGTCGTTCTTGGGGTAATAGTCACAGTGGGCGCTAGCAGGTGGTAGTGGTTCTACAAAGAGCAGTAGCCGGTTTTCGTTATCAGGGTGATAATTCAATCTTTCCAAAGCCTCATCCTTGGGATGCTTAAGTTACTAAGCAAATCCACGATTCACTGTGGTAGCCGGCAAGTGTGGTCCGTACAGAACACAATCCTCCTATCAATATATTCAAGCTCCAAGTCTAAGCCATTAACGGAATATCGCAGCAGATGAGAACTTGGGCCAGGGGGAGTATCCCTCCGGCAAACAAAACGTGCTGTCGAGGGCAAGCGTTGAAGCAGCAACATCAGCAGCAGTGGCAAGTAGCAAGAGTCGCTACGGCAGAAGAGAAGTGGATGTGTCAACAACTGCACGAGTCGTAGTCGCAGCAGCAGTGATGGGGGTGGTGGTGAGCGGCAGTGGTAGTGGCAGTGCATTGGTGGTGGTAGTAGTAGTAGTAGTCGTCGTCGACGTCGTAGTAGTGGTGGTGGTGGTGGTAGTAGTAGTAGTAGTACTAGTAGCAGTGGTGCTGCAGCGCTAGCACCAGCACCAGTACGAGTACTAGTCCTAGTACAAGTGAACAGGTACAAGTGCACATGCTAGTAACTAGTACAAACACAAGTACTAGTGTGCAAGTACGGGTACAAGTAGTAGAAGGAGGCATCATTAGCACCAACATCAGCAGTGCAGTGGCACCTGCAGAGGAACATGCGTCAAGAAGTACCGAGCAGAGCTTTGCGGACAGCTATTGTCAGAATTGCTCCCTTCAACTGTTCAAGCTCGCTAATGGAATGGTCACAAAACAACCTGTGCACCTCACATGCCATCTCCAACGTTCATGTAAGATAGGAGCCTTGCTGCAAATTCAGCTGTGCTCCGGGCTGTACTGTGGGCTGGCGCCGCTGCGTGCAACACCTGAACGCAGCTACGCTGCTAGACTCTCCAGCATGTGGCTCCTCGCACCATAGATGGGCAGTTTATCTCAGAAGCCGGCTGCTGCATACTCGGCCTCGTCGGAAGATTAAGACGTTTCAAGAGTATACGAGCCCTTGCTTGGTACTGTCGGCCATACACGAGAGATTTTGACTGGGAGGTAGTCCTCCGCCCGCTTCAGTGCTGCTTTCAGGTCGTCATCCTTCTTCAGTGCCTCAGTTCGCGTAACGGCCAAACGGTGCAAGGCAGTGAGCAACCTCAAACGGGCACTCTAGGATTCGGTAGCGCTCGGGATGCTCATGAGTCATCCCTCCACACCATATGTTCCAACTCCAGCTGTGCCCAAGGCTATGTTGTCAGCCTGGGTGGGTTTCTCTCCTGCACCTGTCCGAAGGTCGCTGCTCTGTGCATATCTGTGCCTCTTCTCACTACAAGTACTCATGTATCGAGTCAGTGCCTGGTGCGGTCTGCGCAGATGACGCGGTGTTGACAGACGAGGCTTTCATGAACAGCAGCCTGGCATGCCCAAGTCGCATATCATCTACCCCTGACTGACGAAGCGAGGAAGGGGCTTGGACAGCTGTAGGACAGGCCTTCCCTACCCGACCGCCGGGCAAGCATCTCTAGTCTTCTAAGCATGGCGGCTGGTCGGGTCCAGCAGGTTGTACGACTCAAGACCTGAGCTGTTGAATATGAGCAGATGCTTCGGACGGGCTGCAGCGCCTTCATATAAACGGCAATGCTTCCAGCTTTCACTATTGGCCAAAGATCTACAGCAAACCAGATTTGCAATGTATGGCAGCTTGACAATCTCTCAGCCGGGCAGGGCCCTGCAAGCCGCCACGGACTGTCGCCGGGGCGATACGAGGCTTAGGAGCTCGACGTGCAGATAAGAAAGAAGGTGCTCCTTCTGTCGTGGCCTCGCAGCAGGGCAACAGCAACGTGGTACCATCAGCAGGATCTCACAAACAAGCATCGACATTGACATGGGTTTGTGATGCTTCTTTGAGATCGTACGGGAAGAAGCACAATCACAAGACTGTTGACAGACAAACATTGTCTGAGCGGCCCGTTCCTCTTTCTAGCTTAATCCCCTTCGGGAGGTTGGATCCTTGTTTTTAACTTCTCGCACCCTTTCGTGCAGTCTGCTCCTTCCGCTCGAATCGAATGTTTAAACCTTCTTCGATCGCATTTTCGGCATGCTCCTTTGTCACAACTTACTTACGCATATTTCCGAGCGTGTTGCATGCTAAGTTCTCCTTTTCGGGCGGCTTGTTCGTCGCACAAACACTCTGTTCCCTTTCGAGCGGTTCGCTCCTCTTTCTTGCATTCTCTGGTCTGTTTTGAATTGTTTGCACTTCTCGTTTCAACTTCTATAGTCCATTTCGGGCAATTTCTCCAATCCGTTTCAAAGGCCGGGCTGCCTTTTCTCAACATCTGTGTCTTCGTTCGGTTCGAGCAGTTTCCCAACTTCTAATACCTTTCGAGCGGTTCTTGTCGCCCGTTGAATGGTTTGCGCTACTCTTTCTCAACCTCCTGTCCCTTTGGATCGGTCTGCTCCTCTCCAATATCAAGTGCCGGTTTGCTCGGTTCCCTTTGAGCCGTCTGCTCCTCTTTCGTAAATGCTCTAATCCCATTTCCTCCACTCCGTCTCAGATCTTTTAGTGCCTGTCGGAAGGTCTGCTCCTGTCTCTCTCAACTGTCTTAATGTGTATTCGAGCGGTTTCCTCCTCCTCCTCCTCCTCATCCTCCTCCTCGGTCTGTTCTTCTTTCTCACATTCGCGAATCAGTTTCGAGCGCAGTATTCATCGCTCTCCTATTCTCTAGTCCCTTTCACGCGGTATGCTCCTCTTTCTCGACATCAACCTTTTCCTGAAATTTCGACAATCGAAGATGTGTTCCCCTGTTTCTTGCAGATTGCGAGAGAGCTCCACGCAAAAACACTATGCGGCCACAAGGGTCGCAATAAGAAGGGAAGCAGAACATGCGAATGACAAGATCATTCCTGTCGTCAAAAAATCCAACACCATCTCTTGTCGCCATTCGTTATTCCTCTTGCTATCCCCATGTTTGACTATACTGCAAGTTGCTATAACAAACACAGCTGAAACATGAAGACAAAGTGTTGGCAAAGGGCTGAGCCTTCGCCTGTGGAGAGCTCTCAGCAGCCTGTCAGAAGTGCCACGGCTCTCCGGATGATGCTTTAGAGTTTAGGGCCTTAGGGTCTGGGACGAGGCAGATCGCCTGCACCTCCGAGGAGCACGGCATCGAAGATACACTTGAACCTGCCACACTCGCCAAAGCTTTGCAATGCTGTGCACGGTAGTGGTCAGGAAGCCTTGGCCGGGGGCAATCTCTGCGGACTGCGGAGCTAGCTCCTGAAGTCTTTGGAGATGTCGGAGCGATGCCAAGACGTTGCTGGACATAGGATTCCGTTCGTGGCTGAGACAGCGCCGAACAAAGCAAACTTCTTACTGTCCTTCCGTCTTGGCGTCATTTGCCTCTGGCGCTTCTTCATGCGCCTCAGTTCTGTAGCTTGCTTCTCCAAGGCCTGCTGCTCCTGCAACATTGCAGCTGTTTTCGGAGAAGGCCCGCGTTCGCACACAGCGGAGCCTTCACATGCGCGTAGTACACGGAGTCTGTGTGCCCGGAGTGACCCGGGTCCTTCCGGTCTGCCTCAGAAAGGACAGGATTTTGCCTGCGGTTTCAAAGGGCGACATTGGTTGTGCGAATTTTGTTGTGAGCCTTGGCTCACCATGGACAGAAAAGGACAAAACAAGGCTGCAGTAGTGAATGGCGAAGCAGACACTAGCTGCTGCAAGGTACAGTAATCAGTATCGCAACGCATTGCCAAGCCTTGCCATACATACTTTGTGGGACAGCCAGAGGTGTGGGGAAGAGCGTACCGAGCATTGACAAGTCTGAACCCTGAAGCCACCTCTGTTGCCACTCGGAGTTGAAGGCCTTGGGAAAATCAGGGCCAGAGAACAAGATCCATCACTCGCTGTGGCTGGATTCGGGTCGCATCCAAGCCCGAGCACAGGGCACAATTCCTTGAGACCTCCACGCCGAGCCTGAACCGCGGCTTTTTGCAGGAACCGAAGTCAAGGGCTGCTTTCCTTGGGTGGCCCGCCTTTCCCTTCTTGGCGTCCTGCAACAGGCCGAGGCCGAGCATGAGAAAGCACATGCCGGGCCAAGATCTCCTTCTTGCCGACCGAGATCGGCTTGCTCTTCAACCAAACTTCATCTGGGGACTGGCCAGGCAATGCTAGCTCTTCCTTGGCCTCGCGAGAAGGAAAAATCTACAAAACAAGAGGCTACAGAAAATTCATGCGGCCTTCTGGACCGAGTCCTCCGCTTCGAAGACCAGATTACAAGAGGAATCGTCTAGCCACTCGACCTCCGGATTGCGAAAGCACTCGAATGCTGGGTCCTCAAGCCAAGACAACACCAACATCGCTCCCACTCCCCGCCAAGCTTCACCCTACGGGTGAAGCTGCCTGCTGGGGTTGCCAATCTGCGAAAATCTCCAGAACCTGGAGGCAGAACATGATAGTCTCGCACTGTCGACTAGACTCGACGTCATGTCGGCGTCGTTCTTGCCAGTGATGTGTGCAGAGGTCATCCTGAGGCTCCGTCCTCTTTGTTCGAGAGGAAATCCACGCCGAAGCAATGCAAAACGTTGGGCCTGGCAGAGCATAAAGACATGGCGTCAGCAACAGCGACAGCTGCAACCTAGCCATTGCCGGAGACCCGGCCTTGTTGGAGCGTAGGAATTGTGTTCTCTCCGTGGGCAGATGTGAGCCTCTGCAGTGTCTGTGTAATTAATTCTCATCTGGCTAAACCAGCTCACGCCTCCATTTCCCCACCAATGTCCTCCATGGCCGCTGTGCACGGCTATCAAGGCTTTGCTTCTCCACTGGGCTGCTTCTGCCCTGACTGCTTCGGCTCGGCAGTGTGCGTGTCGCGGTTGGGACAGGCTTGTTTTCACTGGCTGTCTGGCTGTCAGGATGAGTGGAGGAAGTAGCTGCCTATGCTGCCTGTGAGTCGTATGCTTTACGTGGTATGTCAAGAGTTGCAGTTCTTGCAAAACCTGGAGCAGCAGATCGAAGCCATAACCCAGTAGCCCGGACGAAAGGGGTGTCGGGCTCGAGTAAGCCGCAAGCCAGAAAGGACACTAAGGACCTACCAAACGTGCACCTGCGTCACTGTGAACAGACACCACAAGCAAACATAAATGCTCTATCTTCACCTGTACACTCAGAGGAAACAAGACTGTGCCTGACATAATACACCTACATCCCGAACCGCTTCTAAGCACTATGCACTCGTCGCCTTTGAAGCAAAGCAGAAGAGGGCTTCGATGGGCTTCGGATGCATGCCAGGCAGTGCCACCCCACATGACCACCTGATGTCACCCGTCATAGGCAGGAGCTGCCGCTTTGGTCTCTCCCTGCTCACGACCATCCGCACTTCTCGATTGCGTGGCGGCATAGCTCCAAGTGTGACTTTGCACACACACACACACACACAGAGAAGTTGAACTCTTCCTTGCTTTGGCTGTACAGGGAGACATGAGGAACGATTTCATCCAAGGACATTTGCAGAGCATCGCTGCTCAGACTTGCGCGCACAAGTGTTGGCCGCATCACGAAGAAGCCTGCGCCGCCAGTAAGACGGAAGTACATGCATGTAAATGCAATTGTGCCAGCCCTCACACGAGCGGCAGGCACAACGTCTTTTGCACCAGCTGCAGTCGTCTGCCTAGGGGAGGCTTTGCAGAAACTGGCGCATGTACTCCGGAAACTTCTCGACATCTGCCCAGCACGAAGCCACCTGCGACTGTGCCTGAGGCAGCAGATCCTCAGTCAGCTCCAAACCGCGAATTTTGCAAACATTCCGAGCACAGGCACGATATGATGTTGTGGCTCAGTACGGATTGGTAGATCAAGATTCGCAAAGCAAGTCCGCAGATTCCAGCGGATGCTGCGCGTCAGACTTCCACGCCAGAACCAGGACCGGCATCGTCAATCCTTGGATGCAAATCTCACTCGCAACGCCACACCTGATGAAAGACGTGATTCTGTCCGAGATCCCGGCGCTTCAATTCGGATGGCGGCGGCAAATCCGAGTCGATAGCACCACGGAGGGCCGCGCAGTATCGGCGCTGGCCCATTGCAAACTTAGCTCGCCAACCGATGTCGAAGGAAGCCTTGGATTTGGCACCGAGCACTGTGCGTCACTGTACCGCGCTTTCGGACCACACTGAGATTGGGTGGCTCTTCCTGCGTCCGTCTCAAGGAAAATCGGTGGGCGGGCCTGCGTTGTGAGGGCTCATGCCCAACAACGAGAGACTTGCCGTGCTGTACCAGATTTGCACGGAGTCTGTGTTCACACGACGAACGTTTGGGCTAAATCATGTTCTTTTGCGCGGCGCAGTGTGAGGATGTCAGCAGCAAGCCCTAGAGGAAGCCACTTCTGAACAATCATGCAGACCATGCCTTGCTTGCAGCCGCCTTCTTGGCTGCTTTCAAACCTGGGCATCGACGAATGGACAACTAATTGCTGCTCCTCTCGAGCATGCTTCGCACCTTGCCCCTGCGCGAGTTGGAGACTCTGCTCGTAAAGCGGGACAAACTTTCGTCCTTGCAACATGTGCTTTCTCTGATGACAGATAGTCCCTGACATGGTTTCATGAGCCCACTTTGCAAGGCTCGGGCTCGTTTCGTAACATGTCGGTGGTGTGGCGATAATCAATGCAGCAACCTTCTCCGGAGCCTCTCAGGTGAGGCGGTCTGCGAAAAGGCACCGCTTAGTGTATTCAGCCACGTGCTGCCTCCAAGGCTGCGTATAAACTCGCCGCAGAGCCCATGCTCGTGCCGCCCAGAACGACCGGTCGACTCGGTAGCATAGTCTCATGCATGGTGCGCAAGTCAGAGCCCATGGCCTGGTGATGTCTCAAATGAACGCACTTTCGGGTGAACCAGAGCCCTGCCTGCCAGGTGCACGCATCCGAGGCATCGGATTTACCATGGCCGCGGGCATCGTAGCGGACCTGCAGACAGCGCCCATCACGTTTATGGTTTATCGAGGGCTAAATCGTCAGAGGCGCAACTGGCATTACATCTGAAAGCTCTGGAACACCGCCGAAAGGCCAACCGCCTGGACATAAACACGCGCAGTCGAGCTCGAGAGGTACATGAAATGTCAAGGCTCAATCGTAATGCTCGCCTTCGCTTTCGCTTTCAACCGAACTCGTAAGTCCGTGCGTCCAAATCTCAGGGGATTCCACCATGCGCAAGGGAGATCATCTTTCCAGCACTGAGCGCTCTGCAAACGTGCAGTCTTTCTGCGCCCTCCCTCTGCGTGTGACCTGATCCGACAACTTGCGGCGATTCTCACAGAAGTCGGACACAGCTTGGCGCAGTGCCTCAAATCGCAAGGAGAGCGGGGCTGCAACGTGTCGAGGCCTGGATCCTTTCCAGTTTCGCTCACGCAGTTGAACCGTCAAACATGTTATGCCACCGACTTTGCGACCAGCTCCAAGCCCCGAATTCGCCTTGGTGCAATGGCACGCTGCCCCGCAAAAGCGCCGGGGTGTGATGTATTTCCTTGGGGCTTCTGCACGGAAGCAACTGAAAGAACGCATTTGCACTTCAATGCCTTGCGGGGATGTCAACTCAGGAGGACATGAGGAGGAGGTCACTGGGAAGAAAACCATGGTCTCAGTCGGCGCAAGGCTCATTCAGACCATCACCATGGTGCGCGCCGTGTGCGCCCAGCCGGGAAAATCGTCGGATGCTGGATCGCCACATGACTGCTCACCAGCAGGGCCACGAAGGGCACCACGGGTCTATGCAGAACCTTGGGGAAAGAGGATGTTGCCTGGAGGTTCAATCATCATGTCTATCTGCCATGTCTCCTGTTTGCGTTTGCAGGTACGAGGCTTTATGCTTGCGACCACTGCGCCAACTAAAACTCAAACTTGGGCCAAACAAGATGACCTCACAAAAGCACTGCGGAAGTCTTAGCTGACTGCACCAAGATTTCCGTGCTAAGGCGGCCTCAGCATTGGAGGGTTTTGGCTCGCTTGTGCCTGGCGCTGAAGGCCTCGTAACGAAGGCACATGGGGGCCGGCGGAGCGGCCCTGAGGAGAGTCAGCCAGTCAGAGTAAGAACGAGCCATGAGTTCGATGCGGCAGGGTCGTCGTGGGTGGTCCCACGAGAAATGGATCTCCATGCCTGTCAGTGTCTCCATCTTCGGGTCGGGGAGTCTGAAGTTGTGACACCCAGAAATCGCAATAACGATATGCGCAAGGAGCGTCACCAAGCTTACGGAGCGTGCGAACTGTGCCGTGCTGAGTACTTTCTCCGATCCCATGTTTTCACAGTTTGCCAGACTTCAAAGATGAGGAAGATTGGCCCTTCCCTGTCGGACACAGCCACGGTGGAACATGCTGATACTAATACAGGCAGAGTTCAGAGACGAATTTCTCGAGGCAGTGCAAAGGAGCGGACGCGTCGCCGGTGATAGACGAATGTTCTGTGAACAGGATATCCAGCTAAAGCTTACAAGAAATCAACACACGATCCACAGGTCTCCCTACGAAGCAGAAGAACGCCGAAAGGTTTCGCGGGAGCTTCGAGAAACTCTTCGGCGTCTTCTACAGTGGGCATGTTGCCATGTGTATATATATATATATACAGAGAGAGAGAGAGAGAGAGAGAGAGAGAGAGAGAGAGAGCTGCGGTAAGAACTCCAGAGCGAAAGCGGTCATGTTTTGACGGCTTTGGGCAGCGCAGACTTTTGCAACAAGTCCGATCCCAAGCAAGCCGCATCGGATACAAGAGCACCATAGCTGTGCTTCCGAGTCAGATTCAGCAAACTTGATCGAACTCAAGCGGCTCTTGAGCACGACCAATGTCTCGTTCCATCGCGAAGATGTGTGCATGTGGATCTGTGCATGTTAGTGTCTTGCTAATAGATATCTCCATCCTGAAATGCTCAGACTTCTTGTTCCCCCTCCCTCCTCCCAACAATTATCCAAGTGTTGTCTACTTCTTGTCATGCCCTCCTGCCCCTCCCGTCTTCAGCGGGCCTCGCATTGTCGTCGGACTGTTTGCGACTGCCAACCACAAGTTGTTTGCAGCATGCCAGAGGTGTATGCATCACCTACACCGCTCAAGAGCACAGCCATCTTGGAGGAGCAAATGCAAAATGCCAGTATCGATACAAAACATGTATTGGAACTGGAACAGTGGTCGTGGTTGTAGTCTCGAACATAGCCGATGCACTGACAAACATCCGCCTAGGAACGATGCACTTGCAAGCTTGACAAGACTAAGTCCTAGTGGTACAACCAACACGAAGCGGGCGAAACAACGTGACCACCGGCACTACTGTGGTCGCACTAACGACAGAAAGTGTAGGTTCAAATTCGATAACAACATGAAGAACTGTACAACTAATGTTGAAGCACGCCACCACGACTTCACGAGAGAAACTACAAATAAACTCCTATTAAGTCGACGATTTCTCTAGCATGGAACCACAATAACCGTAATGGCCACACCAATGGCATAAGTAAGAGCCATCGTGAGATGAAGCGCAGAAGCAATAGCAGTATTCATACCCAGAGCCGTGACCAGAAGCTTGGCAGAAGAACGAACAGTAGAGGCAAGCATAGCAAGAGCTGCAAGGAAAACACAACCAACACTAGCAACAAGCCAGAACCATAGCATAGGATGCCCTCTGAGGAGTTCGCCCTTCGCGCTGCCCGCAGCAGACGACCTGCGCGGCCGTGGCTAAGGCCGAGCCTGGGCAATGCGAAAGGTTCACTTTCGGAAATTAGCCGGCACTGCTCCATCTTCGCAGACATGTGCATATATAAAGAAAAAACACACATGCATATATAAGCAAACAGACATAGAAACCGATGTAGATACTACTAGTAACATAGATACAGGTATAGACACAGATACAAAGCTAGACATGGTAAAAATATATACAGAAATATACAGATATAGATACAGATACCGGTACGTGTGCATGCATGGATGGATGGATGGATGGATGGATGGGTGTATGGGTGTACGGGTGCGTGGATGTATGGATGTACGTATGTATGTATTTATGTCGCGTAGGTAATGTAAGTAATGTACGTAATGAAAGTAAGGTAAGCAACGTAGGTAATGCATGTATGCATGCATGTATGTGTGGATGTGTGGATGTAATAGGTATATAGGTAGGTATGTGTAGCAGCAATGTACATATATGTATATGATAGAATCCGTCCCCGAAAATGATCATGAACAGGAAATTCATGAACTTCTGCCAGTTATAGCTTGAGACATGCACTGAAACACAGCGTCAAACACTAACCGGCCACACACAAGGGCGGGGGCGTGTAGACATGAGTACACCCCGTCAAAGAAGACTACATAACTGTGTAGGAAGGCAGGTAGGTACATGTAGTAAAGCCTGATGCTGAGTGGCTCGTACCGTAAGATGCAGCCTTCAGACTCAGATGTAATGTAACAAGGTATGCAACGAATACAGAATGATATGCCGAACAATGCCGAAAATACTGACAGCATTTGCTTACAGGTTGTCTGTATATCACAGTGCACGTGCTGCGAAAGCCAATCTTACAGCAAATGGGAAAAACATCGAAACATCACTACAAAAGACAGATGCCGTACCTAGACCCGCTTGCGACGATGTCTTGAAAATGGCAGTCACAGGGATGGGGCAACTTGGAGGCTGTTTTGGGCTTCGACCTTGGGAGAATGTATCAGAGGTTAGGTGAAGCGGAACCAGCGTGACATCTGCGTTTTTGGACTTTGGCTTTCTTAAGTGCCCGCAGTCGACTACTTGAGCGGAGCGGAAATCCTGGCAACTAGTTGTTTTGGATATCAATGTCACAGTGAAATCTCAAGATTGCGAGAGTTACAGAAAGGAGTGGCCTACACGTGTGAGATCATCGTGGGCTGAGTCGTTTCTGCACGTTAATATCATTTCAACGCCAACGTAGATACATACAGGCGTGCAGACATACAATACATACTTCTTCTGCCACCGCCGCAAGGAGGGTCTTGCGGTCCGCAGGGCAGTGCTATGCCGGCTTCATACGCGAAGCATGCTGTTATTCAGCACACCGACTTCAGAACTTGTCCCTGCGCTGAGCCGTTGAGTCGATTCAAAACAGCAGTAGATGAGAGATAGATAGAATAGAATAGAAACACAAGGAACCGTAAAACTTGCTCACCCGGCGTGTCTGCCCCTTAAGCAGTGAGCCAATCAGCGGGATGTTGGTATACATACATACATACATACATATAATGCTTATGTACATGTGGATGTATGTGCACATGAATATGTGTATATGTATATATATATATATATGTATTATGTAATATAACAGAATCTAAGATGATAACATACCACAACATAACAATATAGCGTGTATATATATATGTACATTTAATATATGTACACACTGTGTATAATATGAGCAACATGTGAAATGTGGAACATACGATGTACTATACAGATCTGAAATTGTTTTTTGCACAGACGCAGTGAGGTTCGGGCCCATTCTCTGAAGTACTGCGGAGGGGGCGCCTATCTCATGCGGGCCGGCGGCAGGTTTGAGGGTTGAAAGCTTGCTTGCATACTGGTACATATGATATGGACAGTCTATGTTGGGCCCTAGCGTCTTAGCCCTGTAGCTTGCGAAGCCAGCGGCGGCAATGCAGGAGAAATGCAATTTGGCAACAACGAACCCTTCTGCAAGAAGCGACACTTTATCAGGATGCGAGCATTCTGCGCCGTTCCCGCAATATTTTGGCATGAAGCTGTGGGTCGCTTCAAAAAGGCGGCGGTCAGCGCGCTCAGTCAGTGGTTGTCTCTTGACAGTGCTTTCTGCCGGACAACGGGCATCAGTTCCGTATCGGTTCTGGTCCAGTCTTGCAAGTCGAAATGGGTGTTGCCCTTCCTGCCTGAATTTGCACAAGCTGCAAAGACCTCACAAAGCGATCCACCAAGTGAATGCCCGGTGCATGCCACGCTTTTGCACTTCCCCAGCTTTGGCCTCAGCTTCGGCATGCTGTATGTCATCAGCCAGAAGAGCTTGTCAGCATAGCCGCCATGAACGTCTTTAAACCCGCAATACGTCTCCATGTTGGGTCGAACATTGACTTCAAACTCCTGCACAGAGTGGGTGCCCTCGAAGACCAGCATGCAGTTCATCGTCTGCTCACTTTGTACCAGCCAGAGGTTGTCAACTGCCTGCAGAGTGTCTTGCTGCCTGGAATCAAGTCACTGGTCCCCAACACCATCGCTTCACTCGTAATCAGCAATGTTCCCTAAAAGAACTCGACATACAGCCGAAGTTGGCCTGTTTCCTCCAGGGTAGCTGCATGACAAACGATAGTGGAAGAGCTACTCCAGCAAGGTTAGTTAATGCTCTGGCATCAGTTTTAGAGTCTGTTTTTACAGAGCTGGCTCCATCACAGGCAGGGCCAATGCTACTGTTCCGACTACACTTGGTACTGTTCGCAGTCTATCAAGAGCGTCCGTACGAAGCCCTAGATTTGAATACTTTGTGTTTGAGCTTTTTCCGCTTCCAACTGGAATGTTGCTTGTGTTACCACAGCATTAGAGCCACGACGAGGACGATGACTACTAGTGCTGGTAATACAAGTATCGGTACTGTCATGTGCAACAGCAGTCTTCATAATAGTAGTAATGGTGGTGCTCGTCGTGACGGTGCTAGTAGTAAGTAGTAGGCGTCGTCGTCAGTGTGGTTGTATTG